GTGATGTTCAGGATTCAAGATTTTGACCTTATGTTCCCTCCGTGTTTCGCCATGCCATTTTTAGTCAGTTACATCGTCTGTCACATCCTGGCATCAAGGCTTCAAGGAAACTGATATAGCAAAGTTTCGTATGGAATAGCACGCAAAAGGACATAGCCAACTGGACACCATCATGCTTGGAGTGCCAAAGATCTAAAATTATCAGACACACCACCAGCCAACTTAAAAATTTTAATTTGTCCTCATCTCGCTTCAATCACGTGCACCTCGACTTGGTCGGGCTCTTATATTTATTAATAATAATATAATACATGAATAAAATTAATTATTATGTATACATTTTTCTTACCTTGAAAATTTAGAAGCAAATTTATCATTTACTTCATCAAAGTCGATCCTTTCAAATTTTTCTCTTTCCACACTTAAAAATGCTAGATGACTTAGGGGATCTTGTCCCACCGTTGATTGTAAATATGTGAAAATTTATTTTAATTTGCTGAACGAACGTTCATAGTAAGTAGTATTTAAAGTGCGACTCTTATGTTTGGAAAAACATATTCTGTATAGATCTGCAGTGGAGTTTTAGGTTCTATTTCTTTTCTACTACGGAGTAACGTCATGCAGTTACATTCACTGCTCAAAACAATTAGGGTGTATTGTGGGTTCGGTATGAAATAACCATATAATCGATAACATTTTTGAACAAAAGAAAATAGAAGAGATTATAAAGGAAAATTATAACGTTTACAAAGTTGGGAATATGCAAATTTAGTCTGTGACGTCGAAAACTATGCGTTTTAGATAAGGAGTAAGGAACGACCTGCAGTATTCCTTTTTGTAATAGAAGATTAAAAACAATTCACATGCGTTGAATGCTTCGTAGCAGTGAATATACGACGTCTCAGCAAGATGACTTAGTTGAATCAGTAGCCAGGAAGGCCATCAGACGTTTACAGGAGAGTCAAACGCAATCCATTGTAGCGGAAGCGTTACGAATCTCAAAAAATGTCATTTCCAGATTATGGAATCGGAATTTGGAAACTGGATATATTTGAGAAATTCGGGACAAGGTCGTGTTATCGTTTTAAAATAAAAAGCGAGAGATATACGTGCATTTCGTTTAAATATATATCTCTACTTTGGAGAAATAAAGAAGTCAGAAAGAACGTTTTGGTTGATGTACTGCAAGCATTTTATTACACAAATCAAGAAAATAAATAATTAATTATATTACAATAGTTATTAATTTTAAATATATTTTCCAGAAATCGATCAAAATAAAAGCTGAAATTTTCCGGAAAATCTTGTTTGGAGACCATTTGGCTCCCCTGTACGAGCGGCGCCCGGGGCATCATGCACCCCCTTGCCCCCCTCTCGCTACGCCACTGATAACTGATAGGTTTGCAAATGCATCAGTTTTGGATTAAATTCAATTTTCAAATTGCAGAATTATAAATAATAAAAGGTGCGCAACAGTAGTTTTGGCATTAATAATGGTTACAGCTCCCCCTTCAAAATCAAATTCCATGCACGCAACTGTTCCACATAATAATATATAACTGTTCTCTTAATAGCATAATGACTATTACTCTCGCAATTTATATCTTCATCAATTATACTCAGCTGTTAATGAATGAAAGGAAATTAACTGCTCATTGAAATTGAGCGTAATCAAGGGGATTCATGAATTATACTAAAGGCTACTCGAAATACACCGAAACATCTTACTGATATTACTTATAACCCTTCTAATTTCTCTGCTGAATCAACTCTTAAATATCAATTGAAATGACGTAAAGTTTAAAAAAAAGTGCAAAAGTTTTTAAAAAATAATAAACATAAGGAATGAAGTTATTTTCAATACTGGTAGAACGGATCAGCATTAGAATGATAGCGAGGATACCACACGTCTCAAACGCGTTTGTGAATACTTTTGGGGAAATACACTAAATAAATATGTTATTCAAAAGATAAAAGCCAGCGACGTATTTGAGTTTTCGAGGTGTCCTTGGCCGTCACGCATCGACCTAGAAAAGAAACTTAATGGCAAATAAGACTGTGCGTAGACTACCAACAGATGCATGATGTTATACAAGAAGAAAAAAAAAGAGGCAGTGGTCTGATTTCAAGGCTACACATCAGGTTATCAGTGGTTCTTCATATTTGGGAAGAACAGTTGACACTGGTGGTTAGAGATCTATACCGATCAACAGACACTAGTTTCTATCCCTTGGGAATGAACTATAGACACTGCAGTATTTTCTGAAATTTTGAATAACTTATGAAAACAATTTTAAGCAGGCCATACATTTAAAGAGATTTACGTAAGAAACATCATGTTTCTTAACAAACTGGAGTTCTAAGCGCAAAACTGAAATTATTCAAAGGTAAAGTTTCCAAGAGAGGCGTGATCTATCTTAGACATATTAATTGCACTGAATGACATGTAATTGACCCTGTAGAAATTAACTATATAAAAACTAAGTCGCGTCTTAAAGTCAAGCTCAATTTGGCACGTTCCAAAGACTGAACGTTCTACTTGAGATTTTTGTTAAACACTTTTTCTTCATTTTTATCGTTATAATTATCAGGGTCTATATCAATGGTTCTTAAATTTTTTCCCCCATGCACCCATTTCACCATTGCTAGACGATCATCCCTCTTCCTTTCCAAAACTGGAAAAATACACAAACATTTATTTAAATTTAGATTATTTTAATGTGTTTTATAAATTAAGAAAATTATGGAAAATGTTGATTCTTTCTGCCTACTCTGTATAAATCCTCAGAAAAAATGGCCTTTATATGGCCGCTATGTGTGAAACTCGTAATGATTCGTGACAAAACAACTAATTCAGTTTCTCTCCTGATATTTCATTAGCCGCATAATAAAAGTAACTGTCTGTAAAAATTAATTAGTAGGCTAATTAAAAAAGCAGGGTCTGCTCATTGTCAGAAAGCTGAAGACGAAGAATAAGTAATCTTGCACTTCATCAATCACAGCATAACTGAGCACAGGTATTTCTGTCTGGCAAAGTCATGATTACTAACTACCTTTAAAACATTAATACTACAGCTACCAGTGATCAAGACCATAAAAAATTACTGGTAGCTCTATTTGCTTTCGAATCTCCGCAAGTGGGTCGCCTACAAGGATAATTTTTCCCAATCTAAGTGAATACAAGTCCTCAGAAAGTCTTCCGCAAAGGTATTCTTTCTCTTAGGCAGATAGCTCTCGCGTGCTTTGATTTCCAAATAAGTACATTAATATCTTTCGTACAGAAAATTTAAACTGTGTGTTTGTCATTCAGTTTTTAAAAGATCATTCAGATACCCAGAAAAACAAATAGGTCATTTGAAATTATAAATTGATTGAAACTTCCATCATCATAATAATATTTGTTTAGAACAAATTGCATTCTATGGCTTAAATATATAAAGATCACGGAAAACGTAATTCATAGAACTTGGCTAAAATACGATAAATTATAACTTGATTTCTACAGCTTAGACGAGTAAAGCTAATAACACGGATTTAAAGCTAATTTTGAGAGTAGAAATATTATAAATATTCGATCAAGTTAGTAAATGTTTTCCTCATGTTTCCGTTGCAAAACGATGTTGCACATTTTGCATTCTTCACATACATAAAATGCATTATATGTGGAAGAAGAAAAAATGGAAAGAGATCATGTATCAAGATTTCTAATATTCTTGAAAAAATCTATAATAATTTAACAGCTTGACTATTCAGGACTAAGGCAAATTTCACAATACAGAAGGGTTTCTGATAAAAGCATAGAAGCAACTTTTAATACTGGCGGGAGAAATAAAAACAGATGAACTTTCAGGAAAAGCCCGGACATTAAGCTTATTTGAAAATACATTCGCCATTAGATATTTTTGGCATTTGTGAATTGTGATGAAGTAAATTATCTGCATCACCTTAAGTGTATGCTGTTTCTGTAAGCATATAAAATTAGTCAAATATTGCGGAAACTGGGAAAGTGTGCTTAATTTCAGACCAAAATATAGTGAAACCTTCGGTACTGCAGCTAAAGCGCACACCAGAACTCTTGTTCCGGCAACTGAAAACTTCAGCACCTCTAAGCTTCATCTGCAGGAATATAATAGTGAGATGAAATTGTGCATCATTTAAAGCTCAGTGCTCATCATAAAAGGGAAAGAGAAGAGAAAAAATGTCTTTAAGTAAGAAAAGCAATCGTACAAAAAGTATGTAAAAATTGTTTTTGAATTAAAATTGTAAATCCAGGAAAATTTAAACTCAGATAAGTTACCTCCCGGAGTTCGCTATTCAGCATATAAATCAGAGCTAGAGTTTTTCGCGAGATTGAGCTAGTTTGCTTTTATGGGCGACTTGACAATCTGCTTCTGCGAGGAGTGGGGGGGATGTGTAAAATCCAATGTGGATGATATATCTCTCAAATGATCCACATCTTGTGAATAAATGAAGCGAAATATAATAATTTCAATCAAAAAGCATAGTCATTATATTCATCAAGATAACCATGCCAAGGCTGAGGAGATTAAGATACCCACTTGTCTTACATTACAAAAAAATTATTTTAAATACTTAATTTTAATTTTGAAATCTTTTCTGATTGCGATCCCCTGCATATTTCATATTAGAAATCAAGTTCTGGTTATCCAGCTACTGAAGGAGATATACTCCTCTCTATATAAGTTCCTTATCCTGTCAATTTTGATTCGAACGAATTCAGTAATTAAATTCAATCTTAGTGAAATCAGTCAACCACTGAAAACGCATTTTTAAAACTAAAAATAAGAACACACGACAGCTGAATTTCAATTTAAGTTGAAAATTCTTTATTAATATTTACGGTAAGGGAGGGGTAGTGTTGCTCGGGATGTGAACAATAAAAACAGCTAGTTCTGGAAAAATATATATATAAAGAATTTCAAATTTTTATCACATAAATTCTTGATACGCTGATATTATCTTGTGCGACTTAATAAGACTCTCGTTGGCAACACTAAATAGTAGAATTTATTGTTACATGTCATCTGACACTGCACATTAGTCTTGATTAATTCCAGGCGACTTAAACGTTAGGTTGTGCTTATTAACGTACGAGAAATATTTATAGGATTTTACCATGTAAAATAACTTCATTAATCGCTCCCACAAAGTGAAAAGATATCACAAGATACAAGTTTTATGCATAAGAGTTTATTTTTCCCAGGAGTAAGAAATTACGTCTGTAAGCTATTTTCTTTGAACACTGGAATTGTTTTGTGTGCATGGAATTATTCTGAACTCGCTGAATTAACACACGGAATTTTTAAAGTTACAATTTAAATATAAATCAGGTTTTGAAAGACTATTTTTGTTATTTTCGCTGTGTTTTATCGCAAGGAGCAAACTGCGTCACATTTTGTGGATAACCTTGGAATGAATACCTGTATAAGGATATGTAAATCAAGGTCTGCAGATGACGCATATAGTTGTTGGATGTATTAGAGAGTGGAATGTTAAAGTGAATTATGCAGAATTATGTAAAGTTTTAATGGAATAAGATCGGAAAGGTGAGTATGCAGATGTCCGACATTCTTCCACAATTAACTAATTATATTAATATGAACATTTCATTCGATTTATGTATTAAGCAGAAGTCATTTTCCATATTATTTATTTTACTTTTACTTGAGAATTGATAGCTTCTGTAGGTATCTTCATGCAACACTGTGTAAGAAAAGAAGCAATCTATCGCACAAAACAATAAGGAAAAAATATTCAGACACAAGCGAAAACTGCCAGCAGTGAATCTGTGAAACGAAATTGAAATTCCCCGTTATTGGGATGTTTAAACGTTTTCGCTCAACCAGAAAATTTTAAGAGTAAATTAACAGCTATTCCATCAGTTTAGACTGAGTAAAAAAAAAAAACTTAGGTTGTTTTTAATTACAAAATTTTACGACTTTTACATTAAGATTTCAGGTTGGCAGTTTAAACACTACACAGCAGCTGTGTAAGTAAAATATCAAAAACGAAAACTTTTGGAAAGTAGAGTAATAGAATTAAAATAAAAACATAGAATAGTATTGAGATCTCGCTCAATCCCTGTATTCACGATCTTCAGTGACGTAATTAATGGCCCCGCTAAGTGTCGGGTTCTTAATGGTTTTCGGTAGCCTCAAACTGGCGGTCCGCGAATACATTTCAGTTATATAGTGTTGAAAAGATTTCAAGGTTTTCCGTATTTGAAGTCCGAGTTTGCATTATTTTCACTATTATTAAAAACGAACGTAAATAATAATCAGAAAAATCCGTACTTCCTTATGAAAGCGGCCCCCAAGATTGAATCGCAAATCGACCGAGCTATGTCATCGTAATATAATAAGGAAGTATCGAAAAATTCATAAATGGAGCTAATTGATTTATGATGCGATATAAATAAAATAATTAACTTATATTCTTTCTGGTCAAAAACTAAATATATTCAGTTACGAATTTATTTGCACTAAGAATTATCATGTTACGTGGGAATACATTTATATGTCAACGCTGTTTTTCGCGAAAGAAAAATAAAAAAAGAACCCGACTAATAAGTACCAACAATCTATAAAGAAGATACTTTTCAGTAATTATCAGAAAATTTATCAGAATCGAAATGCCATCAAAAATCTAGCTGTTAGCATAAAGTAATTTAAAATTACCTACAAACAAACATAGATATTTTAATTTATGCATTTAAAAAAAGATTAAAATAAGAAACTAGATTTTGCCCCACTTTATAATTTATTTGTTTTAGTTTACAATAAATTATTTAATGATTAATGAAACATGTTAGAATTATTTGAAATAAATGTCAGTCTGAAAATTTAATATGTTATCGGGACTGGATTTGGATTCCAAAATGTACGAATGTGTGTATGTAAATGCACATATGTATATATGCATAGACACACATACATTCATACTTACATATATACATACATTTCTGAACTCTGACTAGTTAACAGAACAATATTTTACAAAATATAACCACCAAAAATGTCCTGCAAATACCACACTATATTTAAATATTTTTAAAAAATTAAAATTTAATAAAAAAATATTTGAATTCCTTCCCCTTTGAGATATTATTAATGTATCTTAGATATTTAGTATACAAAATTTTAAATATTTTTTTTTATTTTGTTAATAAAAAATGTTCATACCACTAATTTATATTATTTGTAATGGCAGTTATTTGTGTAATATTCAGATCTGGCACAGCTTCTAAATTCTCACATTTAGTATAACATATCCCATGAAAACATTTATGGCATAAATGTATTTAAGTAGTGTTTTCTGAAACAGACTTTTTAAACTGGCATGTATAAATGGCAATTATATTTATTTAAAAACATTTATAAATAGTATAGATATTTCACACACATATTTATGCACATACATATATACACATGTGCATACATATTTGATTCCAGCCCTGATAACAGATGTATATTGATATTTATAGTATCTTTAAGATGAACAACTAAGAGGTTTTTATATATGCTGATTATGCAGTTTAAACAGCAGATTTTCATTTAAATGAAAAAGACTGCATTTAAATTAATGTCTAAAAATTTTAAAATGATAAACTTGAATGAATGAAAATTAAAGAAGGTGTTTAACTATTTTAAGTCTTCCTAAATTCCCTTATTAAAACCATGAGTTGATAGAGGATTTAAATATCTGACATTTAAAAAATTCCTGTAACTTATGATGTTGATACTTTTATACAAACTATACAAAGTTTAACAATATAATAAATTTTTATCCACATTAGCTGTCTTTTCCTATACTATTAGCATACTTTTAACAAGAAGCATGTATGCAAGCAAGCAACCTAGTTTGTTGTCTTTTCCTACATCTCTGAAAACAGAAAAAAGTTGGAATGAAGAGATTTTCCTCTCTCTTTAAACTATAGAATAAATTTAAAAATTGTTACTACGTGCTTAAATTCAAATACCAGACCATTTTAATTTCAAAACTTTACATACTGGTTATGGCTTGTCCAAATTCTATTCCTTACATATCAATGTCAGTCATAACAGAGGATGGAAGGAAAGAGAAATTATGACTGCAAACATTTATTTACATACAGCTAGTTCTTAGACTAGATAAAACTTATATACCATTACGAATAAATTTAAATTGGAATAATGCACTATCAAATTTCACACAGAAATATTTTGCAGTTTTAATTCTTCACACTGATTACTAGAAAACTAGCAAAATTCAATTAAGTTTAGGGAAAGGTTAATTTATACATTTAATGAAATACATATTTTAAAAGAGCTTTACATTTTCATTTCTGACTGTATATCAAAAACTTCATTTTAATCACATTTTCATACATCTTGTGGAAAAAAAAAAAATAATGAGAATTAGAAATTATATTTTTTAAATTATATTATCTACTAAATGCAAGGGGCAAAACTGGAAGATGTTGAATTGATAATAAATAAAAACACAATTAGCAAAGCAAAAATTAAACAGTTTAATATCAAATTAGTAAAGCAAAGCATGCACAATTTACCAACATATAAAAAAAAAGAGAGAGAGCTCACCGAGCAGGGTAACAGACTGGCAAGATATACATATAATGGAAGATTAAAAAATGTGTAAATCATCTTTATAATTTAATTTAATAACAGCCTCTTAATTCCTTTTTATTTAAAAAAATTAATAACATTTCTGATTCATTGCATCATTTCTAGATAAATCTATGCATCAGAAACTAAACTCTGAGAACTGAAACTTTTCGAACCTAAACCCAAACCTTCTTCTTAGCGATCTTCCCATATTGGATTAATGCGCACTTCACTTCACTTGTCCTGTTGCTGCTTGGACATCATTTTCACTGTGTTCCTTTCCTATCACAATAGTATTGAAAAATGTAAATGTTCTGGAAATAGGCACGATTAGAGTGCCAAATAAATTGTGGCTTCAAATGTGAATTTAAATAAAAATGGAATTTAATCAGCCTCAACTGCCAACATCAGTACTTTTAAAATTTGTTTATATTAAAATATACAGTAATACACTGGCAGGGTAACAGACTGACAATATATATATACGAATTTTCAGCAGCACAGGGGTGTTTGTGGGACCCCAAAAAATCCCCTGAAACTTTCACGGACTTACATTTTGGAGTTTCGAGAAGGGGGGGGGGAGAGAAATGAAAAATTACAATTATGAAGTATTGAATGACCTAATTATAAAAAGTTCATTGAATTACTTTTTTTGCAAAATTAATAAACATAAATTTTCAAACATATAAACTACTACATTTTATGTAAATATTTTAAATTACCTGAATTAATTCTTTAAAAAAAATTATCTAATTTCTGCTGCTTTTTTTATGTTTTGATGTTTTGTGGGCTTGTCTTTTTTTTGTGGTGAACTTCATAATTGCAGGAAGGCTGACTTTTATTTTTCTTCATTTACAGTTGAAAGAAATTTCCTCGAGAACTGCACATGCAGTAGAAGCAGTTTGCTTTTCTGCTAATGTAGAAGGTTTTTTCAGAGACTTTTATAGGTGACTCATCTGAAATACATGTTTTTAAGTCCTCTTGATATGTTTTCCAACTTCTGTTCATATTCATAAGAGATCTTTGTGAATTGGATCAGTCATTGGATATTTTAGCCATATTTTTCACAGAGGTTTCTTTAGAAGCCATTAAATCATATTTAATAGTCTGCACTGCATCTAGGGAATCAATCTTAAGAGAGATTCTATAGTCAGTGACAAGTGTATCCATTAAGTTGAATGCACTTTCCACTAATGGGCTATGGAAGCAGCTAAGGCAGGCTTTGACCAATTTAGCCAATGTAGGATACTTATAATCATTTGTGAAATCATCTTTTAAATCTTTCTAATTGTATAATATCGTGAAATTCTCTTGCGTACATAAATAAAAAAATATTTCAATAAACTAAACGAAAATTTACACATGCATCAATAAATGAAACGAAAATTTTACACAGCGGAGAAAAAATAGTTGAGAAGCGATCAATGACAAATAGCTAATATGGCGAAAAATCCCCCCTTCTCTACTTATTGGCACCACGCCAGGAGAGATAAGACCTTTGAACCCAGAGTCACGTGATCCCACATCTGGTCGAACGAAGTCTCTCCCTTTTTTTTTCTGCCGCGCCTACTTGCCGAAAAGAATCCAGAAGAGAATGTCCAAGAACCGGGGGAATGAGTCATAACTCCCAATAAGGAAAGAACAAAAAAGAAGTTTTTCCCCCTTTTCACGCATTATCGCTGTCTTTGGAAAAAGAAATGAAAAGTTTTCACCACACACACCGACCTTGCGTTTTCTGCTTTCAAAGCAAACAAAATTACCCAGATCAAAATAAATAATTCATTATTATTCCTTCCTTTTGAACGACGATCCCCGGAATTTCCGGGTATCGAAGTTCCCGGAGCACAAACACCCCTGAGCAGCAGATTGCATGAAAATATGAGCGAGATAATTTTGTTTGAAAATAAAATATTGCAATATATTGGTGCAGCTGATTGCAATGAAAAAGGAAGGTGCACAAATAGATTTTGTAGCAGTCCCAAATACAGACTTTCAATATTCTGTGGTATTATGTTCGTACTTATGAATGTCATACAAAAACATCATTCAAATGAATTCAAAAACAGTCAAAATGGATATTTTCATTGAAATATAATACCTGAAATTTTGGAAGGGGACTTTGGTGTGAAATTAATGCTAATGAAAATGGAATGGCAGAATAAAAAAAAAAAAAAAAAAAATCTTAATTTTAAAAACTAGAGATAAGTTGTTTCAGATTTATTATATCAGCATTATTTTTTTAAGTTGACCATTTTTAAGTTTATCAAAAATTCAGTTAAAATTTTACTGTAGCTGGCTACTAGGCTAAAATTCTATTAAGAACAACACAGTAGCTTTTTTAATTGTTAACATGAACCATCAACGGGGGGAAGAAGGGTTTCGTTCTTGACTACAATAATGTGTACTTTTCTGTTATCTGGACTAAAATCAGAAATGCATACGTAAATGTATGTATATGCACACATAAATACGTATGTACACACATACATGCATACATTTCTGAATCTGGTCCTGATAACAGAAAAGTATTCAGTAATGGTATATAACCTTAAAGATTGAAAAGGTTTTGGGAAATATATATTTTTTTGGTTAAGATTACATAAGTGACTTTAAAATTTGTCTTTTTATGGTTAATAATAGTTTGTTAAGAACAATAATTTGCAAATTTATTATGGGGATATTTCGCTCAAAATATTCAATAAGCAAAATTGTCCCATCAAACTTGATTATTTTTCAAAATAAATCAATAAATAACCAAATTGCTAATTATTTGTATTATTAATGGCAAAGCAAATAATAAATCTTTAATTACCCATTGCATTAAATAAAAAGTACAAGTGTGAAAACAAAACTGCAACACAACATTCATCTTTCAACCTCATAGTTAAACTATCATATTTATATCATGTTTTTCTAAGATTTAGATTACTAAATAAAAATACTGAATTATTAAAGAAATAAAAATCAACATCTGAAATAATTTTTTTATTACTCACACAATTCAGTAAACTACAATATAGAAGTTAATAATTTTTATTATATACATAAAAACATGTTGAATTCATCAGACTTCTTACTTCCATTACTTAGGAACTCGAATATAAAAATGAGAAACAATACTAAAGTGTATAATGAGTATATAAGTGCAGTATTCATTTACTCAGGAACTCTAAACAACAATGGAAGAATAATATAATTTTTCAATACAGAAGAAGTATGATGTAAATATATCTAAAAAACTGCAAATCTTATGAGCAATTTTTTTTAATTCTTAAGCAGCTAAATACAAAGCAACTGAAATTAAAAAGCATATTTTAGTTTTAATGATGGTGGCAAAATGTTATCTATATTAAACAAACAAAAAAAAAAAAAAAAAGCTAAACCTTGTAAAAAGTTCAAATTATATGCAATAAAGAAAAGTAGTACTTGAAAGTATATTCGATCTAACGAAGCAACTTCTGCCATTAACCAGCTTTCAAAATTCTCTCTTTATTGCTTCTCTTTCAGTAAAATTCTCACTAACATTTTGCTTTTAAATTATATATTACAAAGCATTAATGTTTGTTTAGCTTTAGTACACTGAAAAATAATTTTACTACAATTAAAATAATTTTGAAGACCTGATCATAAAAAAAAAAAAAAATTATGTACCTACATGTAACACTATTGAAGCATTTCCTAAATTGTGCTTTTACTAACTGTTATTTATATTGATGTAATATACAATGTACTAAAAAAGAGACAATGGCTTGGCCTCATTTTCTTTTTACATGTTTTGAAGTTAACTATTTAATCAATGTAATTTCTTAATGGTTTAGAATTTTATGAGAAAATAAATAAAGGGGGAAGAAAAGAGTAAATTGCTTCTAATGAAGAAAAAATTCTATAAAATGTTTAAACCCATATTTAATAACCACATCAGTGTATTTCAAAATATTTAAATGGGATACTTGAACATTTTAATGAAAAACGTTAACTAGCATTTCAAGGATTTTAACAATTGTTTGAGAATAGAATACCATTTTCTTCTTAATAAACAGCATTATAATCAGTGTTATCTTTTAATTAAAAAATTCCATGTTTTCTGTCCACAAAATTATATTAATTGCTCATAAACATATATATTTCACCGATTATCTGAAACTAATTATTAAAGAAAATTTCATTTATTGTTTCATTGAAGAACAAACGTAACATTTTTTTTACAACAGTGGTCATACCAAGATGTGAATTAAAAAAATAATTGAAATAGATTTGATTTCTAAAAATTAAAACAATATATATTTTAGAAGTCAAAACTGATATTAGCTTACAAGCAAATAAGGAAGCATTAAGTACTAATTCTGTTCGGTGTAGTGTTAGAACATTTCAGGATATGTGCAAGAAGTTTGTCCCGATAGCTTAAGATTTACTTAAAATATCTTCATATTTACTAAAATACCCATTACAAACATATATCTAATATTAGCAAAAATTCATTCTACACATAATATTTTACTTATGTTTTTATTGTATGAAAATGCATTCAGAGGAAATTAAAGAAATACCTTATAAAATTCTGATGGTGATCGATTTAAATACCAGATTTTTCTACATCTACTCTTCCATATTGGAAAGTGCTTATGAATAATTCTTGACATTCTACCCAATTCTTACAACACTCACTAATGAAATGTGATTTTTATAAAAACAGGATGTAAATTGGTGTAATTTTCAAAAAAATCTTAATATTACATATGAAACTAGAAATTACTCAGATATTTATACTTTAGTAAAAATAAGCAAAAAGGGACAGACACTAACAAAAAATCAAAAAATTATAATTTTATTGTATATGCCAGTGATTTTCAATGTATTATACAGATTTTAAAAAATATATTTTAGCTATATGAATTGGAAAGGGAAGAAATATTTCAAAACATATTAAATGATTTTTGATACTGAGAACTTTTATTAAAAATTCTGAATTATGATTTTTGCATCAGAAAAGTTTCATTACAACCCTGTTACTTTGAACCTTTTCACAATAATCAATGTACTGATTCCTATTTAATATTTTCCTAATACTAAATGCATTTTATTCTAATATAATCATTATCTATAAAGAAAAGGCAAGGGCTTGAACTATCATAAAATATTAAACATTTAAGGTTTCACTTGTATAATATTACAGCACTTATATATGTTCAAACAACATCAAAGCATCAAATCAAAAAAGACTTTTATAAATAGAAACTGCATAATAATCTTACTGCAGAAATATAAAAATCAAGAGATTTTTTCAAATGAAAGAACAGATAATTCACAAATAATTGAAATAAAAATGCAGATATTTTTTAAATAACTATGAATAACAAACAAAATAACCAGATTTAAAGAAATGAAAATGACTAATGAAAAATTGTTTCAACTGTTTAACGAAACAAAAAATTCTGTTATATTTCTTAAGTTAACCCAAGTTAATCATTTTATTTTTTAGTTTAGTTTAATAAGATTACTCTTGCTTAAACTTTTAATTTATTCATAAGAATCTGTGTCATTTTAAAAACACCAATTCCTTATTTTACACAGAATTTGTGTGGCCTTATAAAATAATGATGAAAGCACCTTTGTCCATGAAAATAAATAAATAATATTCTTTCTATACATAAGTACAAAACAATTTTTCTGTTTTTATACAATAAATAAAGCTATGTTCTCATCACATTTCAGATCTGTACTCAAGTATCGAATGCTCAAAATACTTCTGTACCAAAATATCTGTCACCAAAATTACCTGCAAATAAAAGTATAATATATGTTTAAAAGTGATAATCTGAGGACACTTTTCATGAAGCCTAATTATATACTTCATTAATTTTAAAATAAGCACATTAATGTTAAAAAGTAGAAACTTGCAGAATTCTCAATGATTAGTTGTTGCTACAGTCAGAAACTATGATTGAAATGCTTCAAAGAGGTATCATCCTTGACTTTTAATTTTTTAGCAAGTTTATAATCTTACATTTTGTCACACGATCAGATAAATAAATTTTAACACTTGTTTTGCTGCTGATCTGTCTTTAAATGTTTAACTTTCTACATAATACTTTTAAAAACCATGTAATGCTAATTAATTCATGGAGGGAAGATTCATATAGGTAAGATTAAATGTACTCGGAGAAAAGAAAACATAATTTTACCTATTCCGGGCATGATGTAAAATCTATCATTTACTTCAGGGTCCACTTCAGATGTCACAATTTTTACTTTTGGGAAAGCATATGCAATAGTGTGAACACCTGCAAAAGAATATTTAACTAGAAGCACATAATTTATTAACTGATAATGCCCAAAATGGCCATTTTTTAACATAATAGCAGGATCATTTTCATTTAGAAGAATTAAAAAAACAGGTAAAAGGAAGGTGATGAAAATAAAACCAAATTTACTGGCATCTTTCCCTACTAATTTTAGTGCTTGAAAATCGACAGGTAGGAAAATGTGTCATGTATAGTATTTAAGCACATTATGAAGCTCACAAATGACACACTAATGTTAGATTATGTATTTCACAAATCAAAGGCCTTGCCAATCAATGTATCAAAGGACTTGCCAATTTCAATCATATTCTTTTACTTAGATAAAATAATTTATTTGTCCATGCATTCTACATTGTTCCACAGTTTTCTAAATCATATTGTTTTTCTAATGTACACACAAAATCATATACTCAAAAAACTAAAAGAAAAAATATACAAGTACATACCATATCACTGGAGGCGCTAAGGCAACAAGAATCACCATAACACTCATAAATTTGCAGGACTAAGTTTCAAAAGATTAAATACCAAACCTTGTTCAGCTACAGGAGTGCAGATAACAAAAGAGAAGCTTATGCTCAGGCAAATGAGTTCTATATTTAAACCTTCGAAATTAGTCTTGCAAATTTATGAATAACATGTTGATTCTTGCTGCCTTAGCACCTCCAATAATCGTTTTTCAACATGTTAATTTATTTAATAAACTGTACATTTGACAGTTTCATTCAAAATAGATTGTAGAGTTAGTAACTGATAAAGTAGTACTATAGTAAGTTTTTTTTTTTTTTAATTAATGCATACAAAATAAGATTGCAGCGTTAATGATATTATAACAAGTTTTCTTTTTTAAAATTATTTTTACATTCTATATCTTGAACTTTTGGAGATTACTTCCGAGTAGGCCTCTCCTGAGATTGTATAATTCCAGAGGCTCCCACTTTTCCCTCACTCTCTTGAAAGCCCCTTAAAATTTTGCAGAGTAGCTCTAATTACAAGTTTTCTTCTCTCTTTTTTTTTTTTAGTTATTTTTTATTTTTATTTATTTACTTTTTGTGTGTGTGCATGTGACTTTTATACTCTATATTTTGAACTTTTGGGAGATTACTTCTGAGCAGACCGCTCCTGATATTAATTCAAAGTCTCCCACCTTTTCCATACTCTCTTGCAAGCCCCTTAAGATTTTGCAAAGTAGCTTAAACATCCCCTTTCAGAACCCTCTCGCTCCTTTACAGTATTCCCACAGTACATCTGTTATTTAACTTTGTTATTTTAATACTATAAAACTATACACCGCAATGAATAAGATTGGAAAACTGTAATAAAACAAAGATTAGATATTTTATTGTTTATTTTAAATAACAACAATGATAACACATATTTCAAAGCCAAAACATAATGCTAGTAACATAACTAATTATTTTGAATATCGGTTTTTCTAAAATGGAAATGAAAAAATAAGTGAATTTATTAATTTATTGACAATGAAATCTAGAGCTATAATAAAATTCTAAGATTTCTCTAAATAATGTTGTACAGTACAAAGTCTGAAATCTGGACTTGTCGGGACTTTGGCGATTCCGGATTTGGGATTTTTTTCGATCACCAGTTTAAATCTAGTAAAATGGCATGTAGAAATTCTGAAATTAAAAATATGAAATTGTGATTTATGAAATGAAGTGTTTATGATCTAAAGGGTATCAAAATTTGCTAAAAAAAAGCTTAATATTTATTTGTTTACCTTATTAAACATCTCTTTCAATGTAAGTTGTTTAAGTCGCTTTGTTTTTTGTGCTAATTCTTTCTCTTTAATTCTGTAGACAGACAGACATCTCTTGTTCAGTTACATTGTTGATCTCTTGTTCAGTTACACTGTTAAGTCCTGAAACTGCTGTTTTGAGAATTCCGACTAACTTGTCAATCGAAATTTTCTCGTTTTCAATAACTTCTCTGTCACTTTTTTCACTATCAATAGCAGTATTTTCTGGATCTAGAACCATACTGATTTAGCCATTTATTAAGTGATTATGAGTGAGAAGCATTGTCATCACAATCAAAAACTTTTTTATATCATCTTCATTAATTACCGCATCTCCACATTTCTTTACAAACCTTAATTGGAAAATTTTACCTTTGTTTTACAATATCCAAAAACCTTTAAAATTAGCTGCTATCATCATCAAATTTAGCTATCCTTCACTATACATATTTGGCTTATGCATCATGAGCTTGGCGACCAAAGACAAAATGTTCCATTAAATTTTATCTTGCTTCTTTCGCACACTGAAACAATTAAGCCTGAATTGTATTTAGTTATTTATTATACTTGCGTCTATTTCTTGCACATGCTTAAGGCTTATGAGTTCTGAATAAATAAATTCCCACTTATACTTAAAAGCCTTATTGAGGGCCTGCGCTAGATATCTTACCGCCTGATGCAGTCTCTGTGGGTCCTAAAGTATGTGACTCGGTGCGGCCATACGAGCCCTGGCGCTAGTACTGGGTTTATGTTAATAACAAATTAGTTATTCTTAGTTCAAATAGCCCTAAATGTAATCTTTGGGTCTATGAGTAAGTAAAAATAGATTTTGTTGGAAAGAAATGTTTCGTAAATTTTTCCTCGTCAACAATTTTTAGCGCATTTAACTTAAATCTGTAATTATCGCCAAGCGTAATGTCAACATAAAAGGTTACCATACTCCTTTTATTATTTAATTACTAACATAAAAATATTGTTTAGGCATCCCTACATGGGTTATTACTCAAGTTGTCATGTTTTGATAAACATGTGGTGATGAAAGGAAAGTATAATAACTAATGATCTGCCAGGTTGGCGTCAGATCAGCGATTTATCTATACAGAATGTTTCGATTTGAGATGTGTGCCAAGCAGATATGCAGCAATGGAGCCAAATATTGCTGATCATACAAATTTATGTTAAAATGATTGTTTCTTCAATAACAAGGTATTTTATTTACTGTCGAAGTGACATTAAGATTAGAGCCTCTAGATGTTTTATTATGTGTGGAGGAGGAAATCAAATGCGCATTCGTAAAGCATATGAGAAAAACATTGTTGGTGGTTTTGAGGTCCGGATTTTAAGTCATTCCGGATAATGGGCATCCGAATTTAGGACTTTGATTGTACCACAGTAAACTTATAATTACATTAAAGTACTATATTTAAAATAAAAATTTAAGACTTGAGCTCAAAAATTTGAATGTACTAGTGCTATAGTTAACATTTTAAAAAAAAGTTGGTGTCACTTCAAAAGTCATCTGATATCTCACTGATCATTCAAAGACACTGTTTTGTTCACATATTCAGCAGCATCAAACTTTCAACATCTGCATGGTTTTACCACTTCTAGTAGATAACTTATGCTATAGGAAGCTTCAACCACATTTTCATCATCTGGCTGTTTACATAGGAGCTTTAGACAATCAGTGAATGTTTTTTACATAGGAGCTTTAGAGAATCACTGAAAAAGTTTAGTAGTTTTCCTTTGTAGCTGAGATGTTTGGTTTCTAAATGATGCAACAGTAACATATTTCATATTTCCATTTGATAAAACTAGATATCACACAAAGAGAACTGGGACTGTCCTCATCTCTTATGAATGAAAATTAATACTAACATTCATCAAAACACTTTTTTTTTTTTTTTTTTTTTTTTTTTTGCCTAAGAAGGACTGCTGATTGGAATAAAACTAGCCAGCCTATCTTTTACCAGAGTAATAAGGCTTCATCCTGGCCCTCAGCTATTCTTTGGAAATACGTGCTGCATATGCCTTAAGAACAGTTATCATTGGTGACAGTTCTGTGTAAAAATCTAATTGTCGGCATATTTATTTTTATTTAAGCAAACCTTACATTTAACAATTGTGAAAGACAGTTGATGATTCTCAGTGTTAAAAATATTGGCTGCAAATTATTTTATACAATTGACTATGAAAAAGCAGAAAAGGGGGAAGTACATACCATGGAGAAGGAATTGAGCAATATAAAGGGTATAGGCCGAACTAGTGTGATAACTAATTACATTGTTTCTGCACATATTTTAATCTGTACAGCTACAGTGGCCTCTTTTTTTTTTTTTTTTTTTTTTTTTTTTCTTTTTAATTCACTGACAAATTTAAACTTTACAGCAATTACAGGACTTGAACAATGGAACTTTATAAGTGAATATGAAATTATGCCTGTCTATAAAATTAAAGAGAAATCACATTGAAAGAAATGTTTGATAAAGCAGACAAAAATTGAGCTTTTTTAGGGAAGGGTGAAATTTGATTCTCTTAAAGTCATAGCTGCTTCATCATTTAAGATTTTTAATTTTATAATTTCTACATATCATCTTGCTAGATTTAAACTAATGCTCTAAAATCTGGAAAATTCCGAAATTTGGAATCGCTGAAATCTCGACCAAGTCCGGGTCTGTATTTTACTTACTTGACCTATTTTGACTATTCAACGCCATAATGCTCGTGGCTAGCACCAAACAGAATAATAAAAGTATTTTGTTTTAATACATTTTTATTTCCCACTAAAGTAACTTTTTTACAAGATGATGGAACAATGAAACAAGTATATTTTTAATTACAGTACATTCCCGATTATCCGTGGAATTGGGTGGCGCGACCGCCGCGGATAACAAAAATCACGGATAATCCGAAAAAAGCTAAAAAGGGGTATAGCAAAAGAGAAAACAGTTATTCCAACTTTGAAAAATGTATATGTACAATAAAACTTAAGATAAACAGCAGGAAATATTTAACTAACACTTAATATTTTAGTATATCACTCAAAACTAACCTAAAATGCATTTTGTTAATGAAAACAGAAAGTGCTTTGTACTTACGAGAGGCGTCAAGAATACACAGAAAAATTAAAACATATGTACTATTTTAATACTGTAATGTATTATGTAATTACAAAAGCATAACTGTAAAATCAGTAAGATTAAGTAAGACGTATCAGTAAGATTAAGATGAGAGAGGGCCGTGGAGCAGGCACTGCAAGGGTGAGTAAGAAATCACTTACTCATCAGAGGAGAAGGTTCTGAGAAGGCCTGGGATATTTTTGCTATAAATAAGCCCGATGTTTAGCAAATTTAACGTTTCGCTCAGTTTTGTGAACATTTTTATTTTCTTTGCTTTACACTTGTAAAAAAAAAAACTTTGTGCCGCTGGCGCGGATGATCCGCTCCGCGCATAATCCGCCCGCGGATAATCGGAAGTCTACTGTATATTGATAAAATGAGTTTCCTAAATACAAAATGCAATGTCAGAATATTTAACTGAATTAAATTTATGTATTATCAATCAAAGCTATGTTGGCAGATTTTTAACATAACATCATTTTACTCATAAGGTCTACATTAATATGCTTACATTTTAATTACCCCTTTAGCATGCTTGTTTTGTTTTCAATAAATTTTCAAAGAATCGAACCATGCAAACAGTTTTAAAGAACAGCAATTTCACTGGAAATGCATGCACAAATTTTGAGCAACAAAAAATTCAAATGTTTAAAAATGCAGTGCAGTCTCATTATCTTTTAATACATCTTAACTCTGAGAAAAATATTAGTGCATATAACATTCTGTAAAACTGTATTTTTGAAATTAACACAATGATCTTTGTAAAATTATGGAACCTTCAATCAATTCAAATATTTCTTCCTTTATAAGATTGAAAAAAAAATTACTAAACAAAAATACCAACCAGACTCTGCCATGAGTAATGAACAAAGCATAATGTTTTCCTCTGGTACATCATGATCAAGAAGCACACGTATAGCCATCATTGCAGCAGCACCTGTAGCTACAGTTGCATCCATTAATATTATAAAATAGTCTTTAATATCTTTAGGCAAGCGAAGGTAATACAACTGCAATAAGTAAAGATGAAAAATATCATTATTAAAATATTTTTATTAAAGTAAGTCACTTAAATACTTGAACTATAAATATATTTTTGAATAAATTAATGGAACTTATAAAAAATTTCTTGAATTTTTTCACCTATTAGAAATTTTTCCATATTGGATAATATATTTTTTATAATATTAAAATAATGAACATATATTCTTTAAAAAAATTGTAGAAAAGCCACATAGCATGTAAATTCACAATAACAAAATTTGGGTGTTGGAAAGGCGTTAGCATACTTTTCATAGAGGAAACATACAAAAAGAGCAAAGTGTTCTAGTGCAACTTTCAATTAAGCAACACAGCGCCACATCTGAAACAAAGAAGCTTAGGTTTCCTTGATCAAAAACAAATCTCTATCATATCAAAATTACATTATTTTCCAAATATTTCACCCTCTGACCCAGCTGTTTTTCCTTATAAAGAAAGCTCTAGGGTCGACATTTTCAAACAATTCAAGCTATCCAGAAAGATATGAAGGCCAGTCTATAAAATACATCGACAAAGACATTATACTAATGCTTTCAAGACAATCAGAATTGCTGGAGTAATATATGTGTTCCAAAAGATATTATTTTGGAAGTAACTAGGTAATAAATTTTTACATTTCAAGTACAACTGCCCTAGAACATTTTTAACGAACCCTTTTAATAGAGGAGTACAAGCTATCATAACTATATGACTGAAATTTGCTGAAAATACAGTAGTCTCACTTATCTGACATAAGAAGGCAGGCAGAATGTCAGACAACAGGGAGGTGTTCAGAAAAGCCCATGTCAAACTATGTTATAATTTTTACACATTATAAGCCTAATAATCACATTTTAGCATCATTATGCCAATTTCTGTAGCTTCTCATTGCTCAATATATCTAAATGCAGTTTTCTAGACTTCCAACTTTCAATTTCTAGCAAAGATGCATTTTTACATCCAGTTATATGTCGCACAAAAGGTAGAATGTCCCCCCCCCCCGATTTCACCTGCAATTTCTATTTTCATACTTTCATGATCTGAGAATTAGTACAAAGTTCGTAATCTAGACGTCCATTATCCGGAATGATCTATAATCCAGACCTCAAAGCCACAAACTTATGCATGCACGTAAAGCGTTTACGCATACGCATTTCATGCGCGCGTCCGCTATGCATGCGCGTAAAGCCAGTAAAGCATTTACCCATGCACGCTTCCGATAGTGAAGAAAGTAACAGAGAACGTTATTGAAACGAAAAAATTTCGATTGACAAGTTAGTCGGTATTCTCGACATAGCAATTACAGGACTCGAACAGTGGAACTTTGTAACTCAACAAGAAATTATGTCTGTTTATACAATTAAAGAGAAAGTATTAGCACAAAAAACGAACAACTTAACTTACATTGAAAGAAATGTTTACTAAAGTAAACAAATAAATATTAAGCTTTTTTCTTTTTGTAAATTTTGATACCCTTTACATCATAATTGCTCTTTATTTCATAAATTACGGTTTCATATTTTTAATTGTATAATTTCTGCATACCATCTTACCAGATTTAAATTGATGATCTTTAATGCGGAAAAACCCCTAATCCAGAATCGCCGAAGTCCCGACAAGTCCGGATTATGGACTTAATACTGTATTATAGTCTTTACATCAGCCCAGGCTCATAGAACCTAATAAGAAACATTCTTTACATTGATGCATTTCAATTATGCCCTTCTTCAGTTTCTTCTCTCACCATAAACAACAGCTTCCTGCGATAGTTCCTTATTATCATTTCCACAATACCTTGATCCATACATTGTCTTATGGCAATGCCTCCAGTGTAACTACCATAAGACAACATATGGATCAAGGTATTGTGGAATGCAATTGCCTTAATGTCACCATTATGAAATTCCTTGGCATCAGGGTGTGTTGGAGCATTATTTAGCAACAAAACAGCTTTTATGGGTAAATCATTTTCTTTAAAAAACTTCTGTGTTGAAGGAATGAATTCTTAAAGAGACAGTCTTTAAAAATTTCACTGCTCATCCATGCACTTTTCTGACTATAGTATTTTACAGGAACAGCATTTCTTGAAATTGTTTGTTTTAAAGACTCTGGGATTTTCTAATCATTACAAGGTCCATTTTTACTGCACACTAAAATTGTCAGCCTTTCCTTACAGTGCTCATAGCCAACAGCTGCCTCTTCAGTTCATGCTACAAGATTCTTACTATGTAACATTTTGTAATTAAAGCCTGTTAAATATGTGATCATCCATTAGACTTGTAGTTTCAATGAATTCTTGAAATAGTTTTTTGAGTGCTTCCATTGTTTCTTCAAAATTCAGTGCTGAAAACTCAACTGGCAGACACTGTAGTGTTCCTTCTATCAATGTGAAATCTGAATTGATTTCATTAAAATTTTTATAAAATAAAAATAATGAAAAAAAACTAATGTAAATCAAAAATAAATTTCATTAAAATTTTTTTAAAATAAAAATAATGAAAAAAATATAAAGAGGTATGGACATTTCATAATTTTCCTTGCAAAACAATTCTATTAGCATTTTTCACCTCAGTACACTAGTGCTTCATAATTCATCAAAACTCCTGAATTTTTTGTCATGTTTTTTGGAGTATTGTAAATTAAAGGGAGTGGGGAGAATATATATCTATGTTCATACGAGCCTACAAGGACTACTTACACCACTAGATGCCATGTGCAAATTGCTAAAAGCACAGTACTGGACACCTCTCTAAATTCCTACCTCAATGAATTCAGATGGGATGTCGATTGCATGAAAAGACGCAAATATTTTTGAGAATGTTAAAGGAAACCAGCAGACAGGTTTTAAGCCTCCTGTGTAATCCCAAATTAATATGGTAAAATTTATATTGTATTTGTCTTGGTTTTATATATTTATTTTGGATTTAGTAAAATAATCATTTGTTTCAGATGCATTATGTATCGGTAGGCTCGCTGCCATCTAGTACTTACAATCTGGCAATTAATTGGGTCCCGATTAACAGAAAAGTACCGTTTTCCAGAAAGAGAAAGTACCTAAAAATATTCAAAAACTCAGAACTAATTTTATTTAAAATTAAATAGCAGTGCATAATCTCTTTTTTTCATTTATCAGCAAATTTTTTCTTAGAAATGAATTTTAGAATATTTTGATAAATAACGCTTTCAACAGATAATAATGTAAAAGATGATAATTATATGTAAATCAAAAGAGAAAACTTGAATGTCACCTGGCTAGCTCAGTCGAGAGAGCATGAGACTTAAATCTCGGGGTCATGGATTCGAGCCTCATGTTGGACTTTTTTTTTTTTTTAACTGGATTTGAATTCATTTAATCAGCTGCAGATTATATGTATATATAGTTCTTTTATTTTGCATTTTTATTGTCAACATTCAAAATTTTCCACAGCATTAACTGCACTTTACTAGTATTTTTCATATGGTTTTATTTAATTTGGCTCTCAGCTGATTTGCTTGGGTTTTAACGATTTCTTTATTTGGACAGAACCCAAACAGATTTATGGCTTGTCTTCTAGTACCTCCTGGATTTCTAGAATTTTGTGTCACAAGCAGCAGAATATTATTTTAAGATATTTATTATTGTGACGGAATTATTATTAGCCCAAAGGGACAATTTGCCCAGAAGGGCTATAAATTTCGTTTTGACATTCTGTAATGGTTCGCTGTAAACAGCATTTCACTTTTCAAATTGTTGCCACCAAATATTAGAACCTTGCATTATATTTAAAGAAATTAAATTAAAAAAATTAATAAAAAAATCTGAAGGCTAAGATTTTATATTACCTTTATTTATCAAATATCATGTTCTTTGCACTTAAACCATAAAATTCAATTCAACAGCAATGTTCCAAAATATTTAAAAGGGCATATCTTTAGAATTTCTGATACACAGTCTTGTGCAATGGAAAAAATTCCTCTTCCCCGGATGTCTCCCATCCTTCACTTCTTCCTTGGCATGTCTATTCACCAGAACAGCTAGGTTCTGAGCTTGTCTGTTTATGCGAATTGGCAGACCATTCTCAACTATAACGGCTAAAAATTCAACAGTGTGTAAAACTGCATCGACCAACCCCAAACACACAACATTTCTTCCTTTCTATGCTGAGCTATCTTGTGCAGCAACACACAACTTAATTCTTTACATTCTGCAGATCAAATGAGTTTTTTTTTTTTTTTTTTTTTTTTTTTTTTTTTTTTTTTTTTTTTTTTTTTTTTTTTTTTTTTTTTTTTTTTTAATATTGAGACTTTTTTTTTTTTTTTTTTTTTTTTTATCCCATAAGCATCTATGTGATAAACATGGCTTTGATAATTCTAATCTTTCATAGTTTTGCACTTTTGATGCCAACAACATATATATTCAACAAAAATGCAAATTATGGGATTTTATTGCAGTAACACCTAACAAATTCGAATATTTTTTCAAAAAATATATATATTTGCTAATTTATAAATTATCAAGCTATGCATATGTTTGACAAAGAAATAACATATCTAAAATATTTCATACTGAAAATCTTATGAAAATAAATAAATGAAATAAACATACATGAAATAAAATTTTTCAAAACAAAAGAATGAGTCTGTAAAGTTACAGAATTTTTAATTCAAAATTTGAAGTTGAAAATCTTGTCTATTAGATTATACTTGCTTAGAGCAAGGGCAATTCAAAAAATGAAAGCAAGTTAATTATTACCTCAGGCTCTCCAGTATCCTGATTAGTCTGAATTAATATTTTTCCTAATCTGACATCTTTTAAAACATCACAGAGAGCCTGCTCCATAGTTTCACCAGCACGCAATATAGACACACCACATATCTAGACATAAAGAATAAAAAGTGAATTTAAAAGAATAAATATATTAACTATCCTCTAACCATTACGTTTGATAGCTTTGAACATATAAGTTTTGGAGAAAAAAAAAAAAAAAAGCAATATTAAGAATCTAAGAACTAAATATGAAAACTGTTCAACGTATAGTACAAATATATGGATGCATTCATGCACAATCATTTGAATATCTGTAAACTCATCAATGTGTTAGATAATAACAATGCTTGTAAGCCTGCATTTAAATTCATAGGACAATGGAACTTTTGAATATTTGTACATTTCAGGCCCATAATCATGAATAGCATGAGAACTGATGGATAAAAGAAACTTTTTTTCACTATTTTTTTATAACAAAGACTTGCTTTTAACATAATACAATATATATCACAAATAAAATCAAAATTGCAACTGTGAATTGGTCACAGTATATCTTCTTGGACTATTTATTGTATTGTAAAATAAGTAGTCAACAAAATAAAAATCTCTACCAACAAACTGATAAACAGGGAATATCTCTTATTTTCCTAGTGTGCTTCATTTTCAGCTTAATATAGAATAAAAAGGATGTATGGCATTTTTTACTCACAACAATAACTAAAATGCATGTATTAAAAATGCAGCACTTGAGTCCTACTGGTATATGATGATTTACGAACTCCCTAGTAAATTCATAAACAATATGATACCCACCAAATATTGAATTCGCATAATTTTTTGGTGGAAACAATGAATTAATTGTCAGAATAATACATTTTTCTCTGAAGAAATACCTTTTTATTTCAAATACTATAACAAAAGAACCGTGTTTTATTGTTCAATGTTTTATAAACATGCATGATCAATATATATTCTAAATTTAAGTATTCATGTACAATCATTCCATATATCTGTGATCTCATAAAATCACATATTATTTCGTTGCTACACACTGCTACTTTTAAGTGTGATTTTTAATAGATTTAATCTGGTCCATCAGGTTGCCCCTCGATGATTTCAGATAATAGAATTTAACTGATGTAAGGCAGTTATGGTTATTTGGATTACTGTAAAGCACACTGCCTAAGGATGGATGATTTTTTTTGTGGGAAACTGGTTCATATTCACATTATACATATGAAAAAAAAAAAAAAAAAAAGAAAGAAAGAAAGAAAAAAAAACTACAAAAATTCCCACACGAGCAGTCCATTTGCAGAGATGTGAACTGAAGTTGAACTACAGCATTCAGCAATCTTACCGCTCAGCTGGTGGTGGGTTAACTGATAAAGAATGATGAATAATCAAGTTTATATACTTTTAAAAAATAGATAATTATTAATGAAACTAGATCAACAAAGATTAGTATTAAAATTTTCACCAGGTAGGGAAATGGAATTCATACAGCAACTACCCTAATCAGTAAATTAAAAATGCTGGCTACCATATTGTTGAGGCTGGGTTTGAATCCCAGTGAAATCTAGTAAATATATGATATATGCGTGAGACTTAAAATACTGGCAAGCCAGAAGTCTTCTCAAGAGGTTTGGTGATAATGAAGGAGGGGAAACCTTTAGATCCATCCTCTGGGGTGCTATCCATCAAAATTGGGACAGACAGAAGTTCTATTTTCTCATGGATTTAATTCAGCCATCCCTGTTGTACACCTTGAGCAACGTTGGTAATAATGAAACGGCTAAATGACTGAAGACCATTCCTGATCAATACGTTAAATAGTGTCTTAACAGAGTACCTACTATTTAATGCTTTTAGTGCAACAACAACGAGTTGCTGTTAAATATCGGGTGACAAATGAGTCAATGGATTCTCTTCTGAAATATCAAAATACAGATTAAGAATGAAAGATATTGTTTAAATTGTAATAATGATATAAATTTTACAGAAATAAATGATTTTGTTAAATACTTTTCAGTTTAATTTTGAAATATGATTACTGTATTTTCCATCAAAATTTAAATTTATTCATTCAACTGAAGACTACATCAAAATAAGCAGTGCCTAGTACATGCCCAACATCACAAAAGTTACAGCTTAAGAGATTAAATAAAACAAGCCTGCAAAATTTGGGTTATGTCATGTTTTTTAAATTCTGTTACTTGATTCCTATGTATATTTTAGCACTGAATCTGAAAATGATAATTCATTTTTCCCCATCAATTCTGGGTTTTTAGGAAATTGCAACTTTCAAAATTTGTAAAAAGTCAAAAAATTGCAAAAATGTGATACTTTAAAACAGATTTAAAATGCTTTTGATACTTACGTACTATCGCAACCATCTTGGCGCAGTTTGGCGATTTTTTACGGATGAAAATGAAAACGTTGCTTAGGATGTGCAAGTTGGTGGTTTTCGCGCCTTCTTTTATAGAAAGATTCCCAAACTATCTATATTTATAGTAAGTTTGGTAAACAGTATCAACATAGGAAAATACAGCATACTTTAGCAACTTAAAATAAAAATTTGTATTATTGAATAAGGATTATGTCATGCATTAAAAACATAAAACACAAATCTTCTTTGCATCTTCCTGTAAATTGTTTTCGGAGGGGAGCCATTCTTCTTCACCCGAAGTACACAGGGATCTGTTTTCGTTTAGAAAAATATCAGATAAATGCAAAGACTCGGCTTCGCATAATCTTCGGGAACAGCGGCTATCTAGAAAACTCATTTCCTCGTTGTTCGCTTTAACTAGAAAGTTGACACTTGGAATACAAAAAAATAGAACGCACACGAAAATGGTGGCGTTGCTTCAGTGAAACGATTATTATGAGCATGGTTGCCAGAAGAATGGTTATGTGCATGGTTGCCAGTTTTTTTTTTTTTTTTTTTTTTTTTTTTTTGTTTTTTTTTTTTTTTTTTTTTTTTTTTTTTTTTTTTGTTTTTTTTTTTTTTTTTTTTTTTTTTTTTTTTTTTTTTTTTTCTTTTCTTTTTTATTCTTTTTTTTTTTTTTTTTTTCTTTTCTGAAAATGTGGCTACTGCTACTAAGATGGTTGCGATAGTACGTAAGTACCATGCTTTTTTTTAATTTATTCTTTTTTTTAAGCTTTGCTTTGTGCTTTTCATGTTCTTCATGGACTTCATCTGTGCAATATCCAACAATAGTCAGCCATCACTAAAGTAGTCCATTTTCTTTGATACATCCTTTCCATTTCTTGATAGTCTTAATCTTACCCATCTTTTTCCTAATGGCACTCATGATTTAATGTTCAGATCTTTCTCACTGTCCAGAAACTTGGTTTAAAGGCTTCCTGGGCTTCTCTTTCTGTAATTTTTATTTGTTTCTAAAAATTACCATCTTTGAGCAGTTTTCTAATATTGGGACCAGTAAAGACTTCTTTTAGTTTTGTGGTTGATAAGAGTGGAAAGTTGTCATGTATTTAAAAACTGACCTTCTTTTGGTAAGGCTTTGACAAATTGCTTCATGAATCTGATACACAGAGGTGAAAGGAAAACTATTCAGATCTATGAAAGCTTTCGTAGCACCTTCAGGATCTAGGTTCTACTGAAGCTCTTTTTGGCCAATCATTCCTTGTCAAATAATTTTTCTGTCTCTGCAAGCCCATCCACAAAAAACGAGGAAACTTTGTGTACCCTCCTTGCTTTTGTACGAGCACTGATATTATTTTTGAGATTGGCACCTGTAATCCACTTATGATCATCATATTTAATTTTATTGAGAAAGAATACAAATCTTTGTTCAACTCTTGTACTGTCTCCGACTCAAAAAATTTTGTTGATTCCCTTAGGGACGTTTAGAGGTAAGGGGAGGGGGGGAAGGGTATCAAATGCCCAATGTATCTCTTAATATTTCTTAAAAAGCAATTGATGGAAACAAATGAAAAATGCAATAAAATAAAAAATAGGCTCATTTATAGATATTATCATTTGAAAACTGAAGGGGGTCAATGGACCAGGGCTGTGGAGTCGGGCAGATTTTGAGGTAAAAGGAGTCGGAGCTGGAGTTGCGAAAAACAGGTCAACTCCTTCAGTTTTTGTTGGACAGTTTTAATTTGAAATGAAATCAAAATGAATTGAAAAAAAATTAATGACAAGCTGAGTTATTATTTTTATTTATGGACTATATACATTAATAGTTATTTTCTATTTTATGACATATTAATAAATAAATATAAGGGAGGAGGATGGATGTGATAATTGCTATTAGTGATTAAACTGATTCAATTAGTTACAAATTTCACTGGTAAATTTAGGTAAGTAGCAATAGCAGCAAGAACTCCCAAAATTGATGCCATTCTTAAGAAGCGAGCAGGAAAAGGAGCAATTATTGATCAAGCAACACGATAAGGAAGCACATATTTGATGATAAAGAGGTTGTTAGAATTAAGAACTTTTTTAGAAGATGTAGACAACCCTAATGTTTCTTCAGCAGAAGGACTGTGGAATGATCTTGCCAAATTGGAAACTCCCATTTCTACATACATAGCCACAAAAAAGCTGCAATCTGAAGAATTGGCAGGAGGCGAGAAGGGAAGAATGTGATTTTATTCTTTCTAAGATGGAGGATTTATTGCAGAAGGAATCATTTCTTCAATGAAGAAAAGAGAAACTAGTTTGCTAAACGATGAGATCTTGCTGGATTCTATATATGTAGATCTGAAACACTGGATTTTTTTGGATGACGAACAAACTAAAAAGGCAAAGAAAGCCATCTATGAACTTTCATTAAGAATGAAATTATTCTCAGAACAATTAGAGAATTCGAATCAGCACAGTCAAACTGCAGACATTGCATTTGAGTCTCTATCATCCTCTTCCAGTGATGAATTAGATTTTGAGAAATATTTTTGGATAATATTGAAAAGGCTAATACAAAGCGAATGAAAATAAAGAACCAAGAGCCTAATATAAGATAGAAATAGATATAAAATGACAGATATAAAAATACCATTATAGATATAAAATGATAGATATAAAAATATATAGAAATAAAAATGATATAAAAATGAAAAAATACAAACAAAATTTCTACACGGCCTTTGAAGAAATAGAGAAATAAGATTGCACTTGCAAGACACCTCTTTTAAAACTTATAAAAATATATCCTGAAAAGTTAGCCCTAACACTAACAGCTCTTCCTACTACTCAAGTTAGTTTGGAAAGACTCTTCTCCGCTCTGAAGTTTATCAAACCAGATCCATGGCCCTCCAACAAAGATCCTGCCAAAGCTAATACTCTTCCTTAGAAATAACTAATGCCAGTTTTTTCATTTCATAATAAATGCTAATTAATATAAATAATTTGCTATGCCTTCAGTTTTTTCTGTAGCATCTATTACTTCTCTTACATTAAAAAAACAAGCTGTAACCCATGTGTATATGTTATATATATATATATGAGGGAGTCGGAGTCAGAGGGATTTTTCCTTCCGACTCCACAGCCCTGCACTAGACCCATTCCACACTCCATGAGACCCCTCAACTGTTTTGCTATGAGAATGTTTAGTAGAAGCCGAAAAAAAAATACATAAAAAATACAAGAAATTGTTTTATGCCTATTTTAAGTCTCATATTTTTCTAAAATTAACAATTAGTCAAACATTTTGGCAGGATGGTAAAAGGTGATTTTTAGATTCAGTGCTAAAAATACATAAGAATCAATTATCAAAGGTTTTAAAACAAAAACCACCATGGCATGCTTGTGTAGCTGGAAATTTATATTACATTCAAAAGCAATTTTTAGTTCCATCCTCCTTAAATATATAAAATTATAAAACAGAGCATACTGGTACACAGAATTAAGTTAACACTAAAATGCAAAATTAATTTACAAAGAAATTAATTAGATTCATACAAATAATTTGTACTCAAGTCAGACTATCTTACATAGAAGGGCGACCATAATGTGGCTTTTATGCAGATAAAATACATATATGAAATACCGTAAACTATCTTTACTCAATGTCCAAAAGAAAGCTATTTATTTCATTTCTTTTACGAAGTTATTAATAAACAAACTGATCCATGTCCAAATGCATTTATTTTATTTGTTGTTAGTTAAGAAACTTAATGTTATTCATAAACATAATAAAGAAAATCTTTAAAAGTTAGTCTTGTTTGTGGAAGCTTTACAGGAAGGATCTGCTGAATTTCTGAATCATTAGTAAGGGTAGAAAGTAAATTGGAGTGATTTGTGAGCAGCAGAAAACCCATAACCCATGTAATGCATCAGAAACATTTAATATGATACACAATTGGACATAGGTAAAAATAATTTAAATGAATCAGGCACAACTTAATTAATCAGTCACAGCTCGGAAAAGGATGTTACCTATACAAAATTTTGAAAATCCATAAAACTTCAGGACAAGTTATACAACTTGCATGCTACGGAATGAGTACGCAGGGGATTTATGAGATAATTCTGAGGCAAATGAAAAACGATTTGAATAGCTGTGGTACAGATTTAAGAAGAATCTGAAATTTTATCAGCATTACAAAGCTGCAATAGATCAACAATTACAAGAAGGTATCGCAAAGTATTTAAAAACTGAAGAGTACTTTTTATTATATCGAGCTGTACCAATTATGGGCACCTCTTATAATATATCTCAAGCATGCAAAAGTAAATGAAAATTAAAAACCTTTTCTGTAGCAATTCTTTTCCCTTGATAAGGAATTCCTTGTGGAGTATCAACAGTAACAGCCTACAAGTGAATGAATTCTGTTAGTTTATGGTGATAATAACAACAGGAACAATACGAAAATTGTATTAAAAAAGAATATAATAACAATAATAAAAGAAAAAATAAATAATGCAATTGGTACAAGTATATGACACATATTTATTGAATCTAGATGATAAATTGAATTTTAAAAACACTAAAGGGAAGGTGAAAAGTTACTATCTGTTGAAGAAATTTTTGATAAAGCAAAAATCAATAAAAAATGCCACATTAAATCCAGACTTCATATCTATGAATTCGTTTCAGGAACTAGTTAAATATATTGAATGATAAAACTAACAGTAGTTAAAAACAAGAAAGCAACCATCAAAAATAGTTATTAAAAAAATAATTTGTTGTGGATATTATGAGAAAATATATATTTGAATTTCCAGATCGTCTACAGCACCCCTGGATTTGATTTAATGGTGTTTCTTCATAAAATATTTTGATAAGATTTATTTTGCTAACTGGAGTTCTAAGTAATTATGTAGACTACTTGAGATATAATCTTAAGCATTTATTTCATTAACTAAACATAATAATTTCTTATTATTAAGAGATTTTCCACAAGAACAAACAGAAGAATTTAACTGATGATTCTTAAGTACAGCTGAAGCACTTATGTATTATACTTAGAAATACTAATTTCCAAATATTAATACATTACATAAAATATGTTTAAAAAATGCTTTAAAATTTTTAATTTCAAAATCAAAAAAGAGATCTGGTTTCTTGATTAAGAAAAGGAACTTGACAAGCTAACAGCACAATACTCCACAGACGACATTCTAATGGATTTCTGCTTGCACATTTGCTGCATAACTGTTTGGGAGACAACCTCAGAAACACCTATGCAGCAAGTCCTTCTCCAAAAATACTAAACTCGTAACAAATCTACAGTTTTCTTTCGAATAAGCCATAAGCCATGTGACTGCTGATATGCCTTCAAGAAAACAGAAATTCAGTACTGGAGCACTTTAAAGTATATCAAAGGCAAGACTCGTACTTTTTTAATTACAAATGAAATAGTCAATCAATATGAATGATGCGCATGAATTTTGGATTATCAAGATAACAAAACACACATGCTTACTAAAGGATGAACTCCAAATATTTATAAATTACTTTCTTTTAATAATTAAAAAGTAAAAGAAATGCAGAATTACTACACATTGCATCTTCAATCTTCAGCAAAATTTTTGATCTACAAATAAATGTTTTTATGTGCAATCAAAGTAATGCATATTTAGAGAGTTAATAACCCAATATGACCAATTACTTGCATACATAACTACTACTAACATTCTATTTTATATCCCTTTATACATGACAAGAATAACAATTCTTAAACAATCTAGAATAATTTTAAGTATAAGAGAAAAACAACTTCTACTGTGTAATACAGTCAAAAGTCTTTAATCCGGACTCGTCGGGACTTCGGCGATTCCAGATTATCGGTTTTTCCGGATTATAGATCATCAGTTTAAATCTGGTAAGATGGCATGCAAAAATTATAAAATTAAAAATATGAAACTGTAATTTATGAAAATAAAGAGCAATTATGATCTAAAAGGTATCAAAATTTAAAAAAAAAAAAAAAAAAAAAAAAGCTTAATATTTATTTGTTTACTTTATTAAACATTTCTTTCAATGCGCATATGCATAAAGCATACATTACGCATAGTCGAAATTAGAAAATTGCAACCAGAAAACTATTTGATGTGTACTCGTGATATTTATAATGACGAGGAATTTGATTTAAATCATATCAAAGACGGAATACATGGAGATTAAATACTACATTTAGTAAGGAATTTAAAGCTGAATAAAAAAAATAAAACATCTGCCCTGAAGATAAGGATAGTGCTGACAGATCAACTTCCAGTTCATTGCGTGCCGCGATGTCCCCCCCCCTGCAGAGCAGCATGAAATTGATAAACAGACTTTGGAATGTTTAGAGAAACAAAGGATATACCTTTATCCATTTTTTGCAGCAATTCCACTTTTTGTTTGATGGACATTGAAACATACTTTCGTTTTGTAGATCCTTTACATATTAGTAAATATATATCGGAAATTCTATTTGACATAATCGAAAGTTCAAGCTTACTTTCATAAAACTGCTCTAACAGTCTGCAAAAAATAATAAGCCGGATCTAATTCGATGATTAAGAAACAATGCAATCTGCAACAGTAACTGAACTAAATAATTAGATAACTTTAGCTTAGCTTATACCATCCGTTATACATTAAACGCGCATATGTAAACATATTATGCACATGCACATATGCATATGTAAAAGTATTACGCGCATGCATAAATGCATTATGTGTTGACGCATGCGCAGAAAGTTTGTAGCTTTGAGGTCCAGATTATAGATCATTCCGGATTAAGCCTTTTGACTGTAGTGCAAATATTCAGAATCTTTATTACCTCTAGAATTCCTTTATTTCTCTCTAGTTATTAGAAAAATGTGTTAAATAATTGGTAATTATTTAATATATAGCTCTTAATAAGTATGCATATTTAGTTATCATACACATCCAAAATTCATGCTTATTATTTCTTTCATCAAGGCACTGGCAACCTTTTTTTTGGCTGCAGGTCAAAATCAACCAAAGCACGTGTATTAAGATGTTTTAGTTCAGAGGCATTTTCATTTTAGAATAGTCGTCATAATTAGATAAATTTTATTGAGTAAATAATCAAAATATGCTTTAAACATAAAAATTAAAATTCTAATTATTATAAAATAAATATAACTGGATGAATTTTATTTTTATCTTCGGTATCAATGGCTCCCTTGATGTTGAACTTGTGATGTCAATACAGTTAAGCCTGGCTTATAGTAAATCATCTTAAGACAAATTCAAGCATCTAAATTTTCGGCAGTTAAGCTGTTCACTGTTCTTTAAAAAAATTTCATGTACAAGAGTATTTGCCTGCATTTGAAGTTGAATCAAATGCAGACAGAATTGTAAAGCCAAAGTCTGGGAATGATGGATAATGAATCAGTGTTGCCAAACTTATCAACTGCTCCTTGAAATTATGTTACAATTTTCATATTTTAAAAATAAAAATGCATGTTCGTTACTGCAACTTTTTAATCAAGCAAAAATAGAATTGTTATTTATTTATTTTCAATTTATTTTTTATGTATTCTTCAAGTGTACGTTCCACATTTATGTTTTATAATTTATTTTTATATATTATACTTTTCGGAACTCAAGTAGGTCAACCGAAATTACGAAATGAGTCATTCGGTGACCTACAGGTCATTGGTTGACAAGGTAATCCTTAATAATATTTTGAAGACAAAAAAAGAAATAAATTTTGAAATATTTTTTACTTACTTTAAATGGTAATAAAGAAAGAGCAAATTCTATTAGAAGGCGCATTAAGCGTTTTGAGTAGAAAATGAATTCATCTCGAGATGTACGTTTGTCACGTATAAACGTATAAAGCCCTTTGATTTGAGATGTGGATGGAAGGATAGATAGAACTTCAGGTAAGGGCTGCCCAGTGTGACACTGAGCCAACTTGGTCCTAAGCAAAAAGAGAAAACTCAAAATATCCTTCATTAAAATCATAAAATAATGAAATTACCATATCCAAAATAAGTAAGAAAAAATAAATTATTAGCTAGGTATACAAATAATTGCATTTTTTACTGTTTTGATTAATAATTCAATAATGGTTAAAAAAAATCTTATTTTTATCTGAAATAAAAGTATTGAAGATAAAGAGAGTCATAAACATCCATCTGTGATTCATAAAAACTGATTTAGAGATTTTAATAGCCCCATATATGACGACTAAGGAAGCTGCAAAAAAACTACAAAAGTGACAAGTGTTCAATAACTGAACCAAAACTAGAAAATTATATTCCTTGGTAAAAGAAAACCACACATTTCTCAATCACATTGCTAAACACAAAATGGGATACTTGATCCTGTGTCAGTTGTTAACTATGTATCACTCCGTATCTGCAATGAAGCAATATCAACAAAAGTTTACATTTAGTGTGAGTAAAACTTCTGGAATCTTGACAAAACCATCCACAGCAGAAAAATAATCAAGGGAATCAACAAAATGCATGAATTGCTGCACTGCAATAATAAATCTGAAGGATCTCTTCCAACACAATGCTTTACATGTCTTGCAAAGCGACTACAGGTATTATAAGAACCAGGCTATGAAATTACATAACAGCCTTCTTATTCATTATATTCTCTCCAGCTGATTATCATTTCAAGCATATTCGTAACTTCTTTGAAGATCATTTCCAACAGCCAAATATCATTTTGAAATGTCTTGAAACAATTCATTAATGATACAGAATTCTATGTCACCAACAGATCTGTTTCGTTTTAACAAAAATGCATACATTCCAATGGTTCTTATTTTAACCACTCTCATCCTCAAATATACTGCTTTAAAAAGCTGGTGGTTAAAAAATAGAAACTATTTTTGCATGACTTATTACTTCTATATCCAGTGCTAAATAATATTAAGAGAGTACTTTAGCAAAAATTCATAATGAATAATCTCAAATGCTCTGTGGATTCTCAAAACACTTGCTAATATCACATATAAGTGGATCAGGATGTAATTTCATGAAAGGATTACAACACTCTACCAAACAAATACTAAATTTACAACTGTCGTTTTCACATAACCTCTATACAGTTTGAATAAAATAACTGTCAAGTAAATATAATATGACTTACAGCACTCATGTAGTTATTCACAAACTATGTTCCTTAGATAATCTTGGTATGCTCTTGTGTCAAGATCACCTAATCATGAAAAATGAGGGGATAGCAAGTACCATGGTGTAAGAAGATCAAATTCCTATACTAAACCTAAGAGTACTTTCCAGCTGGATTTATTAGCTTTGTATGGATATGGTGAATATCAGAGCTATAGTTCCTTCCAGATTACCACTCCAACAATGAAATTTGGTGGAACAATGTTATTTTGTGGGGCTTCATTTCACGATTCATAATTTATTTGACCCTGTATCATCTAGGAAAACCAAAGATTATAATCAACACTTAAGATGCTGAATAATAGTATTTTTATACTACATCAATAACTTATAAAAGACCTTTTTCTTCACCAAAACAATAACACCATTGCAGTACTGCTCAGATAAAGAATAATATGAAAACTCTCTATTGAAAAGATGAAAGAACAACCCAAACTCTCAATCTGAATCTTAATGAGCATTTTCATGATGAATTAGATCATCCGACATCTGCATATGGAAACTGTCTAAGGAGTACAGGTTGAACTGGTAGCTTCGTTACAGACAAGCTTAATGTTAATAAAAATTTTGTAGAAATTATGCTACAAAATATAACAGTCAGCCCAAAAGCCTAAGATTTTGGCACAAAAAAATAGACATGCAATGAAAGATCTTTTATGCTAAAGACTAGATACCTGAATATTAATGATAAAGCAGTGTGCAAAAATTAGTGCACTGCTTTATCATTAATAGTCAGGATTACTTTAGTATAATGTCAGATCACTCCTTGGAAAACAAAAATATTGAACCTGAATAATGGAAAATATGCAAGTTTAAGGTTACATCATTTAAATTTCTCATAATTTATAAATGATCCATTATTTTCATGTTAAATGGTAGTAATATTTATAGATCATAATTAAGCAACGTTTTAAAGTACTATGGTTAGTTTCATTTTTGGATGGGTTTTTCTAATTTTTCATAGTTTTTTAATTAAAAATTAACATTAAAAAAACTTGCTATTTCAAGAGCTCTTATGAGATCTCTTTTAAAAAGACTTTAGTTTTTAAAGCATTTGCAAAATCATCAAAACACTATGCAATCGTTTTTCTATATAAAAATACAAACATTTGAACTTAAATAACCAAATCAACAAACAAAACTAACATTTCTGATTAAATGAAATTTACCAATTTATAGTTAACAAGTTTCTTCACCCAAAAAGAGTGATCACAGAGCATAATTTCAAAAAGAAATCAGTTATTGACTATGTATACATATGTCAGACACGGAAACCTGAAATTTATTTGGAAATTCTTAGAGAATCTTTTAATTCCTAAAACCAAAAGAAAAAAAGGGAGGAGGAATTCTTCGCAGACACAAAATTCTAAAATGACTGTGCAATGCCATATCAAACATCCAAGAATTATTTTTCTGTTGCTTTTGATACATTCTGCAGAACATTTAATAATCAAATAATTGTTCTTGACCGTTTCAAATTCAACTACAAGAGCTACAATGTAGCCTTTATATTTACCTAAATTCAATGCCTGTAAATTTTTTTTCATGAAGTTTACCAGAATTATCCAGACACTGAAATCACTGCATGAAGATGTTAGTTGAAATCACTTTTCAACTCTAAAAAATATGAGCAATAAGACTTTAAAGTGAAGATACACCATACCATTAGAATGAAAAGAAAGCCATTTGAACTCACTATACCATAAATTGCCAAATCAGTTTTCTTTATTAATGGAACTGAAATCTTAAAAGCCTTAAGACAGTCACAATGTACATAATTTTAAGTTGGAAATCCTGGAACATGGCTATAAAGCCCCCCCCCTCCAAAAAGAACCAGTAAACCTATGATATCAAGATTTCCCAAATTCTATCATATCTGTATGTTATGATTACTCTTAATATATATATATAATTTATTTACTAAAGAAATATTGATTATAGTATGTCCTAATATGTATTATATATATATGTATAGTTACATGCATACAGGTTCATAATTAACTGAATGCAATCAGAACCACTGAAAGCATAATGAAATTTATTTTCCAAAAACATTTCACAGATCTGGAACTTTCCATACAAAAGTACTTCTACAGCTCATCTCAGAATGGCAGAGCACAATCTGTAGTTACCACTTGAAATTACTAAGAACGCCAAACTCGTGGCAATGCAAACAGCCTCAAAAGCGTAAGTCCAAACGATAATCTCTCAGTACTCTTAGCTAAACTGAAAACTGACGCTCTCTCCAGTCCTACATTTAGTTTTCCCCTCTCCGCCAGAGAAATTCCCAGTAGCCTCAGTTTTTCAAAATTGCTAGAATGCACATACAGTAGCATAGGGCCGGTACAATTATAGTTACACAGGAATCAGATCACAATGTAGTCAACTAGTTGCCAAGCATGGCGACAATTGGCAATCTCTTACCAAATCTGGCAATAAAAATTAGTTGCCAAAACCACTACCAGCTTGGTGCTATTTACCTCAATGTGAAATGAACTTACCCATTGTACCTCTATTTACTGGCAATGCTTCACATTCTGAAGCTTTTCAAACTATTTATACAAAAGATACTACAATTTACATTACAAAATTGCTAGAATGCTAGAACTTCACTACATACATGCAAAATTTGTAACAATATATATTCTTAAATATACAAATATTAAAAACCATACTTCTAAAATTATGAATGGATGAATGAAATTCACAAAAAATTTTAATTTCACAGTTTTTTGTTACTTATGTGTTTCTGTATGGCCATCTCTTGACTACTTCATTACTTTAGTTTTATTTAGAAATGAAGTTGAAATATGGAACGATTACTCAGTTGGCTATTTTAACTTTTTCAGAACTTAATTTTTATTGATTACTAACACTTCCACAAAATTGCTTTTGCAATTTCCTTCTATAAATTACACATGATTATTTTAAAATTTAAATTAACATACTCACACATAGACAAAGGCATGCATTAAATAAATTTACTGAAATGATGGTCACAACTATTTTAATCTGTAACATTTTTAATTATAATCATTTGTCATAAATGTTTTAGTTTACAAAAATAAAAACACTATAATCATTCACACCATATAAAACTATATAAAAAATAAGCACAATGCACAAACTTTAAAAAAAGGGGGGGATTAGTTTTAACAGATTAACACTTATAAGAAAACTTTCAATCACATAAGAACTTACTTATTAAAGAATGTCAAGCCATCTTAGAACTTACCTTAATTTTAGGCCTCTCTAAAAAGAAAATGAAAAATAAACATTACACTTGACAACAAAATAAATTTAAAGTGAGAAGCTGTTAATTTCTTCAACAATGTACAACAGATTTACTCCAATAGGTTATGGAACCCATAATAATTTTTTATTTAAGATTTATAAAACTTTTATTTAAAGATTTATAAAACTTATTTTCAACTCTGCTATGACATATAATTTTCCCAAAAAGAAATTGAAACTTTCACAAGGAGAACTGAAGAACACATTTAATTTCATCTTATGTTTGATATCTACAAATAAAAGATGGAAAATATCACTCATATTATGGATAGACTTATACACAAATACAATTTAAATTTTATTTTAGCACTTTCTATATATTTTCTCTCCCCCCCCCCCCAAAAAAGTGTAATCAACAAAATTCTCAAATATTTCAGGGCTACCTAGGAAGGTGGCAATTATGATGATGTAAGGAAAACAGTTCATAATTAAATAACACATTATTAACTAAAAATTTCTCTCTGTTAAATATAAAAAAGTTTAATTTTAAGTAGTTAATAAAATGGATTAGAATAAATTAAATAAAGATAATTTTATATGATCAGCAATTAGTTATAATAAAGATTTTAAACTTATGTCATGCCTTTCAATACATATCCATCGCAAAAATCCTAAATACATTCAAAATTACTTAATTGTGATTTATTAATACATAAGAGTACCTAAACATAACCAGAATGACAACACAGGTGAGCATTTTGTAAAGATGAATCTAGTCATTAGACCATGTTATTAACCATATTATTAGCTCAGGATTTTCTGCATCTATTTGCCAAGTGGCATCAATTTGAGTATAGTTCATCCTCATTGCTGATTTGTGTATATTCTTACTTATAGCATGCTGCCATTTTCATGATGTGCAACAATAACAAAATATGTGAAATTTTATTTTTTATTCATGGAAATTGTATCTGAGGACACTGCTATCCTTCAGCAACCTTTTAATAAAGTTTCATTAGTATATGAGTGGTTATCCAGATTTTAAAATGGCATCTTCTCAAATAAAGACTGCTACAGCTTGAACTCAATTTGACAAGCAGTAATGAGAAAGCAATAAGAAAATATAAGAGCTACTAATGAAGCTAAAAGACTATTGACCAGATTATTGAAGAAACTGCCTCTCTACCAATTTTGGGGGTAGAAACACATGGTCTTTGCATCTCATTCACAATACTCATGAAAAAAACTCAATAAAAACAATTCAAAGGATATATTGATAAAAAAAAAAAGTATTGATAGGAAGAAGTGGAAGAAAATATGAAACTTTCCTTGAATAATACAGTTAAATCTCATTAACCCATTAATGCATTTGCCCGCGTCTGACACGGGCAAAATTACCAGCAGATTTGCACATGCCCATGTCTCACACGGGTGATACTGTATCTTGCATTATTTTATTTCTAATGCCCATCTGAGATCCGTTCTAGTAAAATTAGGTATGCTAGATTATAATTAAACTTATTTACCATTAATAGCACCACTATGCTGCCTTTTTCTTGTGCAAACCATGTGGTGCATTTTGATAATTAGCTAAAAGTTGGTTAGGAATTTTTTATTATAAAGCAGTTGTTTGGTGTGAAAAAGGTAATATATCTATTTTTTATGATGTTAATTATCATAAAAGTAAACAGTGAACCATAAATTAATTTTTACTAAGTGTTTTTGTAACTTTTTGTAATTATTATTAATTTTTATTAATATTTTTTCACCCGGCTTCCTAATCACCTCTCACAGCTGAAATTGCAAAAAATAACTTACACTATACCTATATATTCATTTTCTCTTCAATCATTTTTTCCCAGTTTTTTCAAAATAAAAACCTTGTATTTTATAATGGGATAATGCAAAATATTTTTAAAATGAACTGCTTCTTTATTCTTCATGAAACTGTACAGGAATTTCAGTGTTGATTCATTAACATAAATTATTAACTATCGGCTCTTCGAACTTTTGCTCAGATTAGCACAAATGAAACATATACAGTCAAAAGTCGTTAATTCGGAAACCTATAATCCGGACCTCAAAGCTAAAAACTTTCTGCGCATGCGCCGCATTGGCAAATGCGCACAGGCGTTTTACGCGTGCGCGTAAGACCTTGACTACTGCGCATATGCGTGTGCGCAAGTGCAGAATACGTTTTCGCCTGCGCGTTTAATGTATAACGGACGGTGTAAGCTAAAATTACCTAATTATCTATTTCAGTTAATGTTAATGATTGCGTTGTTCCTTAATCTTCGAATTGGATCCCACTTATTATTTTTTGCAGACTGTAAGAGCAATTTTATAAAAGTAAACGTGAACTTTCGATTATGTCAAATAGAATTTCCGATGCTGGAACTTCCAAAGGATCTACAAAACGAAAGTATGTTTCGATGTTCAACAAATAAAAAGTGGAATTGCTGCAAAAAGTGGATAAAGACATGAAGAATGTGACAGAGAGGTTAGTGAAAACGAAAAAATTTCGATTGACAAGTTAGTCGGTATTCTCGGCACAGCAATTAACGGGACTTGAACAGCAGGACTTTGTAACTGAACAAGAAATTATGTCTGTTTATAGAATTAAAGAGAAAGTATTATCACATAAAATGAAGCAACTTAAACAACTTACATTGAAAGAAATGTTTAATAAAGTAAACAAATAAATATTAAGCTTTTTTTTTTTTTTTTTTTTTTTTTGTAAATTTTGATACCCTTTAGATCATAATTGTTCTTTATTTCATAAATTACGGTTTCATATTTTTAATTTTAGAATTTCTGCATGCCATCTTACGAGATTTAAACTGATGATCTATAATCCGGAAAAATCGATAATCCGGAATCGCCGACATCCCGACGAGTCCGGATTAACGAATTTTGACTGTATTTCCAAATCTTTCTCTATGTCACTGTTCAAGTTTTATTCTTTCTTTGAACTGTAGACCTTCATGAAAGACAGAAACAATGCTTTCTTTTTAAAAAGGGATTATTACAACACCGCTTTTTTTATTATTCTGAAAGTCTGGCGGAAGGTCTGATGTGCCCAGAAGATTTCTTTGATCGGGTAAGGATTTTTTCCCCCAATAATCCCCTGGGTCCTAATGCAGTTGAAATCATCAATCAAAAATGTACTTTATGAAAAATGGTGCCCTGTTGGTTTCTTTTCAATGATGAATTGCTCTATTATTTAAAAAAAAAAAAAAAAAAGTGTCACAAAATGCAAAAATCATTGAGCTTAGGAAGGGGGGAAATGGACATTCTGAATGATGTGAATAATGCTAAGTTGAAATAAAAGAATAGAAATTTTTATAAAATTTAGGGGTGAAAAAAGTACACTATTAATAATTTTAAAAAATTAAGGAAAAATCAAAACTGCTTGTGCAGCTAAAAACTGTGTGTCTGTTTGAAAAGGAATGCAGACTGCAAAAATGAAAAAGCTTAAAATGGCTTAAAGTGGGTCAGAAAGATTCAAGCACAAAATGTTAGTCCTTGGTGCACTTACACAACAGAAAGCCTGATGCTTTATATGCGAGTGATTCTGAATGCTCAACTGGACGGTTACAAACATTCAGGAATGGACAAAGCGTAATTTAAAAAACTAAAAAGGTTTGTGGTTACAAAACTGATCGAAATATAGAGACAATTAATATTTTTGAGAGCATATTTATGAAAGAGAAACTGCTTTGAAGTTTTGAAGAAGGATGCAATATCTGATATGCACAATGTTGATGACACTGCATTTTTCTTACAAGTACTTTCTGTTTACACCTTAATTATAAAAGGTCTAAAATGCTCTGCGGATAAGTGCAATAAAGAAAAGTTTACTGTGCGCGTGGTTTGCAATATGAATAGCACTGTAAAACTATCATTAGTTAAACTATCCTCAAAATTTAATTATTGGCAAATCAGAAACACCTAAATGCTTTAAATCTGTGAATACCAATAAATTATGACTTCACAAAAAGAGCATAGATTACCTCAGAAATTTTTCACATGAGCAAAACAACCAGCAACAAGGCAGAAGGGTATGCCTGATTGTGAATAATTATGGTCCCACTGCGCAGTTTCAGGATTGAAAGCCATACAACTGGAGTTTCTTCTTTTAATCAACTACCTTGTGATCAAGGGAAAAGCTTGAAGCTTGGGACATAGCTTGAAGTGTTACTAACAAAGAGAACTAATTCATTAAAATCATTCATTGCTTTGATAAAAAGGCTGAGTTCAAGATAAATCCATTAGATGCCTTGATGTCATTTAAAGCAATATGAAGAGAAATAACATCAGAAATAACTGTAACTGTTCCGGCAAAGTAAAATTTGTCAGAAGTGATAGTTCCACTACAGAAAACACTATAATGAAACTACAGCAGCTTGAATATGATATAACAGATGCACAACTTGAATTATGCTTCCATTTGGTGAATATGTTCAATGGATGACAATATCATAATATGCAATATTACAATGGATGCTGAGATTGTTGATGCCATTAATGAGATAATGAAACACTTATCAGGCAGTGATCCTTATTTTTCAGATGTAGATGAAGACAAAAAAAAAAAGACTGTACCACTCAAAACGAAAATCCAGTTTGCATGATAGAAGCTTTTATAACGTTTCAAACTATATGTCTCTTTGTGATGCAAAAACAGATTCTAGAGCTACTTTAGAAACTGAAGATAAACTTAATGATTTTTAAAGATACTGAAGTCATAAAAAGAAAAAAAGAGAGAGAGAGAGAAGAAATGAAAAGAAAACTGAATTACATATTAAAAAAAAAAAAAAAGATTTAAAAGGTTTTCTTGGTATACAAATAATTTAGGTAATTGTTCAATATAACATGCAGAAAAATAATATTCAATTAAAACATGTTAATTTGCTATAAAAAATGATAACACTTGTCATCTACAGAACACAATGTGGGTTTCTTAAAGTGTGTATACACTACGTATTTCTACTCTCATTCATTTCTGGATAAGATGTATTCCGGATTAACACGAACAATATGTTAATCATTGTGAATGTTCGCATAAATGAGGTTCCACCGCACTTCATGTGAAAAGTTCCAGAATTGTTTATATTTTTCCAACAATAAGCAAAGTCAGTGAGAAAAGCATATCAATACCAGTGCAGAACACTTTGAAAAGAACTAAAATACATAAGTACATAATTGCTTTAAAATAATTCCAGTTATCATTAAATACCCCCTCATAACATTAGCATGATTATTTATAAAAATGAATTTCCCCTAAAAGGTTTCCAAAAATTAATCATGAAACTAAAAATGGGGAAATATGTTTAGTTTCAGATATACAAAACTCAACATACATTGTGTGATACTAAATATAATATTGTTTACTACACATAAATTTTACCACACAATACATATTATGTATACACAAATTACATACCACAAAATATATACTGTATTCACGAAAATAAATTCAATATATATTATGCGGTATACATAACAAGTTTTTCTGAAATTAAACATTTATGCGTTTTAACTTGAAAGGATCAAGCTATTTCATTTGATAACTATGGATAATGTATATCTCCTTCTAGACTATATCACTATGCTTTATTAATTCGAGATTTCATTTCTTAACCCTCTGACTGCTCAATTTGTGGACCGAAATCAAAAATTGTGTAATTTTTTGGGCATATTTTAAATCTATATATATATTGGAGAATTGAAAAATGCATCTTTCCTTTCTAGAAAATATTTTTTATATAGATTTTTATCATGAGAAACTAAGTTGCCAGAAAAACCAATTTCAGATGTTATCACAAAAAAAATTTTTTTTTTTAATAAATTTCAGTTGAATTACAGTTAATTTTTATTTATTGCATAATATAAAAAAGTAAAATATATAAAATTTAAGAAAATATAAAGCACTGAGGAAAAAATATCTTAGAAATGCAGTTTAGTAAAATATAGTTCAAAACAGGGTTCAAGGCAAAGTCCAACTTCACAGTCTTTGCACCAGATTCAATAAATCTAATTAATAATCAATCTAAATATTAATCTAATCAATAAATCTAATCAATAATCTAATTAAATAATCAAGATAATCGCTGAATGTTTTCTAGCAGCCATTTCTGTAAGAAAAAAGCAGCAAAAAGTGGAGTGTGAGCGATAATACCACGTGCCTTCAAACGGCACAATTTAGTGGACAACTAACGATATCTGTTGGCCAAAGCTTAAACTAAACGTCTAATACTGTATATAATTTATTTCAGTGGTTAAATGGGGGAAAAACGGGATGTGCTCCTCAATAAAGGAAGAAAAACACATGCCTGCGGAAATTGTGGGATGAGCAGATTTCGCTACATTTGAATTGCCCGTGGAAATCGTGGGATGAGCAGCCACAGGGTTAATAGTTGTGTGAACATTTAAAACAGAATTTAAATATTCAGTATGTAATCTAACAGCACCTCTGTTAGCTAAAGCAGGCTAGCAACAATATTAATAATCTTCTCTGAATAAGAAGCACCTAAAATTTAGCACTTCAAATAAACAGCAAACAACATTTCAAATATCACAAGCATTTACTTTTTTGATTGAATGAATTGTTGACAAATGATACAGTGTTAATAAATTTGTAAGACAATTAGAAGTTCTTTAAATGCCATGGAATTCACATACAAAGGGAGAGGGGAATTAAGGCTTTATTAAAAATATGTTCACTTACCAATTGTAACTGAGTGTGTACATGTTGAACAATAAGGGAAATGGCAATTTCATTCTCACCACCTTTGAAAAGGAATTAAAAAATATACATTTAAGATACAAATCCTCCATAAAATAAATTCATTATCTCAAAAATAAAAACTTCTTTAAATTTATCACACAGTATAAAAAAATCATAACTATTTTATAAAAAACCAGGCATAAAATTATAACAATTCATGAAAATATATTCTGCATTTGAGAAAACATCCACCTATTAATTATTTGTTCAAAAGGAAACTGAATGAAATATAAAACACATTTTTACTAAATATTTCTTGAAAACATTGCTAGTGAATATTAGCTAGATAACAAATTTAGTACCTCAAGAAAAATGTTTTACTTTAAACTACAGAAAAACAGTAAAACATGATAAATCACAAGCAGTGCTTGCACACACATTTGCATAATAACAATTGATCTGCTGGGACAAACAACACAAAAAACAAACAATTTTACAAGAAAATTAATAAAAAATTAGTTTAACTATTTTTAAAAACGTCTTAAATGATAGGACTGAAATTCATATTTTTAACACCTCTCCTATAACTTCCAATTTTGTAACACCTACAATACCAGGAGCTGTTTTTAGTTCTTAAAAACATTTCTTTAAATAAAAATAAAATTCTTTAAATAAAAGCTTTGTGAGGATGTCTGTGAGCTGTTTTTCACCAACAATGAGCATTATTTTAAGATTACCATTTAAGAACTTTTCATGTACAAAGTGCTTTTTTTTTATTGCAAAATTCTGGATTCTTGAACAAACAGCACTAGCATTATCAACTTGCAATGTGGAAATTTTATTCAATGGAGCAATATCATCAAATAATCATTTCAGCCAAGTGACTTCTTTAGCTATACACATGGAAAAAAAAAAAAAAAAAAAATTACAAATGTGAATTGTAAAAGAAAATTTAGCAATAATTATCTGTAGGCAATTAAATTCCAATTTAATAATTCTGCTATGTGTGGAATAGTTCAAAACGAGAATCGACACACAAGACAATGACAGCTTTTTTCGCCAAGCAAGTAAGATGCATCACGCATCGGAAAAGCTGATATCTTTCCCTTCTGTAATTATGCTGTAAAATTACTTTTCAATTAACCAAGAAAGTCTACGTTAAGTTTTAAACTAAATATATAAAAGGACAACTGGTCTGAGTTTTTCCATCATGGAAGTTCGGCGACATTACAACTGCAATAGCCAGGTAGATGCGTTTTCCCACATTCTCCCAACAAAACACAGAAGAAAAAAAAACATTGAGCTGGATGCATTTCCCCACATTTTAATAACGAAAAACATAAAGAAAAAAACAAAAACAATGAAAAAAATCTAACAAAATAAACACACATGTATCCTTTAACTTAAAGAGCTGTAATTCAGTTTGTTTACAGTTTGTTTGAAAAATAATATTCAATTAAAACATGTTAATTTGCTATAAAAAATGATAACACTTGTCATCTACAGAACACAACATGGGTTTCTTAAAGTGTGTATACACTACGTATTTCTACTCTCATTCATTTCTGGATAAGATGTATTCCGGATTAACACAAACAATAAGTTAATCATTGTGAATGGTCGCATAAATGAGGTTCCACCGCACTTCATGTGAAAAGTTCCAGAATTGTTTATATTTTTCCAACAATAAGCAAAGTCAGTGAGAAATGCATATCAATACCAGAGCAGAACACTTTGAAAAGAACTAAAATACATAAGTATACATAATTGCTTAAAAATAATTCTAGTTATCATTAAATACCCCCTCATAACATTAGCATGATTAGTTATAAAAAATGAATTTCCCCTAAAAAGTTTCCAAAAATTAATCATGAAACTAAAATGGGGAAATATGTTTAGTTTCAGATATACAAAACTCAAGATACATTGTGTGATACTAAATAAAAGTATAAAAAGCATACAGTATAAAAAAGATAAAAAAAGATACAGTATAAAAAAGATACAGGATAAAAAGCAAAAATCATATTGTTACATTCATATATATATTAAGAAAGCCTATACAAAAAAAGACTGGAATACTTATTTATGGCAGCACTGCTTAAAAGAAGAAATGCTTTCATGAAGGGCTTTTTGAAGGAATTTAGGCATCTATAGAAAAAATAGGTTTACTTAACTACAATATAAGGGTATTTACATATTAGCACCATAGAAGATGACACTAAATTTTCAGAAAGCTCTGAACTTTTGCAACCATGCCATAAATACTTCTTCTGTTTCAGTGAAGGTGTCGCCATTCTCTATGCATTCTTTTTGTTGCATTCCAAATTCCAACAATTTTTACTACAAAATTGTGTTTTTTTTCTCCTTTTGTTGTTTTTAATTTTAAATTCAGCTTTAAAGTATGATCTCATGGAACTTGTCTGCAAGGAAGCTGTTGCTATAAAATTTCCATATGACTTCACTACAAAATCATAAAGGGTCCAATTGCTTTGAATTTTTTTTTAGAACTATCATTGGAATTTTTTCACCAGAACAAATGCTACAAAAATCTATTTGTAAGTTGGCTTACTGAATAATTTTCAGGATAAATAGTTAAAAAACAAAACATGTATGTATGAAAATGTGTATGTATGTAACATGCTTATAGTACAACAACCTGTTTCACTCTGTGCATATGATCCTAAGGCTAAAGCTTAGTTGCAGTTTTACCCATTCATCTATTATTTTGCTTTTCAGAAGAAAAATGTGAAATATAGATAACTATCAAAGAAAGTTCAGGGGTTGGACAAAAATATGGAAACACCTTTAAAAAAACATGTTTCTTTGCTTAATATGGTGTAGGAAACCCGTTGGCATCCAAAACAGCTTGCAGTCTTCTCGGAATGGATAAATACAGTTCCTGTATGTTTGCCAAGGGAATATTATACCATTCTTCCTGCAAAACGGTGGCAAGTTCAGATAACGATGTTGGCGGTGGATAACGAGAACGCACTTTCCGTTCCAATGTAGACCACAAAGGTTCGATAATATTCAGGTCTGGTGACTGGTCGCAAGGGGAAATGGGAACACCATATACCTGCCAACCTCTAAAGATAAAAATTCAGAAGATTTCTCCCCCAAATTCAGAAGAACACGAAGAATTAATATCATGCTTTGATATTAAAAAAATAACAATTTATACAAATAGAAAAAAAGAAAATTGTATACTTACATTAGTAAATCTCAATTAAGTAGTAACTAAAAAAATTATTAAAAAACAAAACAAGAACTTAATGTTACACAAAAAAATTATTGCAATGAATTTAGAGTGCATTTTTTGGCTTTAGCCAAAAATTCTTTGGAAAATTTCCTGTCATAACAATTAGTTTCCTCATAACATTTAGCAATTAAAATGTTTTCTAGAGTGGTAAAATCCTAGTATGCGGTACAGCCTTGGCGCGACTTTGAAAATTATCGCCAACACCAAAAATGATCCAAAGAACGTCTATATATATATTATACACACATAGTATATACTATATACATACTATATACTATGTTTAACTGTATATTTTCTTTGAATGACCCGTTAACTACTCACCGTATATGTCCCGTTTTTACTGCTCATCATAAAGTCACCAAAAGTAGCCAAATCCCGTGTGCACCGGATACTAGGATTAAACCTCTAGAGTTTTTGGTGAAATTGAAGAACGAAACGTAGTTTTGTTTTTCTTCACAACAACTCTCTCGCACTCAGCATTACTGTGTGAAATTACGAGAATGTGACAATCCACGCTCGCTGAGTAATTCCCTTGCTGCTGAAGCGAACGCGAAAAAATAACCTGGTGCCCACAAAGAAAAGAGTGGGAGAAACAAGTTCAGCGCATTGGATTGGCTGGTTAAGCGGTGAGTTGGGAGAAACCGCAGGTTACTGGATTCGAAATAGTCGGTAAAACATGACACAATTGACAAAAATCGCTGAATTGGCGAAAAATTCTAAAATTTCGACAAAAATCACTAAAAACACTTGAAAAAGGAAAAAAATCGTAAAAAATGGATTACGATCGTAAAATCGTAAAGACAAACGCATTTTCGTAAAAATTCGTAAAAGTTGGCAGGTATGGAACACTCATCCTCGTGCTCAGAAAACCAGTCCTGGACAATGTGAGCTGTGTGAACAGGGGCTTTGTCGTCTTGGAAGACACCACCACCATCGGGGAACAAAGTTTGTACCATGGGATGAACTTGATCGGCCTAAATGTTCACATAAGTCTTGGCAGTCATGTGCCCTGACACAGTTATCATGGGGCTAGCAGAGAACCCAGATATGGCTGCCCAAACCATAACAGAACCCCCGCCATGTTTCACTCTTGGCAACAAGCAGTCTGTATTATAGGCTTGAGATGGCGTTCTCCAGACGTAAACTCGGCCAGAAGTGAGAAACAATGTGAAAGAAGACTCGTCAGACCATATTACTCGCTTCCACTGCTCTATAGTCCAGCAGGCTTTATGACTTAAACACCACCTTTTCCTGTTATGGGCATTAGCATCACTGATGAGTGGCTTCTCAATTGCAGCACGGCCAGCAAGTCCCTGTTTATGAAGCTCCCTTCTAATTGTTTTGGTACTCAAAGGGTTCGGTAACACAACATTCATTTCAGCAGTAACTTTTGCAGCTGTGGTCTTCTTATTTTTCGTCACAATTGCCCTTAATGATCGTCTGTCACGATCACTCAGGACACACTTTCGTCCGCACTGTGATTTAGCAGATGATGTTTTTCTGCTTTTCAAATATGCAGAATAAATCTTCGATACAGTACCTCTTGAAACACTAAACACCTCGGCTACCTTCTTACGGAAGCACCTACCATACGTGCTCCAACAATTTGCCCACGTTCGAAGTCTGTTAACTCTGACATAATGCAATGACAACCTCACATAACAGTACGCCGACAACAACTGAACTGTTTAGCACATTTACGAAGTTGTATAGGTGGCGTCAGTAGTCCAAAAACGCCAGCGACACCTACATATTTCATTAAAATCAATCTTTCTTTTCAAACGTGCATTTCACAAGGTGTTTCCATATTTTTGTCCATCCGCTGTATATTAGATGAAATAAAAATACATCTGAATAATTGCTTGTGAGATTACATAAAATCAAAGACACCAAAAGCTAAAATTTTATAAGTTACATTTTTACAGTGCAAAATAAAATAAACACAAACCTCTAGGAACAATAAGATCAGCATGTACCACTGTTGGAGCAATATAATAGTCAAAAGCTGGCTTTACAAATTTTTCATACTGTTTTAAAACTCCTTCTAAATCCCGTCCTCTGTCCATAATATCCCGTCTTAATCTTCTGGCTAACCGTATATCAGAATCCGTCTCTATGTACACTTTCATATCCATCATCTAAAGATAATTAGAAAGAAATAGTTAAAAGAAATTATTTGCTTTTCTTAAAATGTGTATGGAAAATTTAATATAATGTATGTCATAAAGGAAACAAAGATAATGTTTTTCCCCAATTAATTAAATTCTAAAACAAAATAAGTATTACATAGAAAAACAAATGTAAATCAAAATTTTTACTTTTGATTATTTCAGAGACATTTCAAAGATATGCACACATTTAGACTTTACATACACGCAATAAATACATATATATTATACATTAGTTTAAAATACGTAAAAGGCAAATAAAAAAATATACAGTAACTGTATTTTCCAGCATATAACGTGCACTGGTGTATAATGTGCATCCATAATTTCGAGCTATATTTTTTAATTTTTAGGTATATCAGCCATATAACACTCACCCAGTTCTTTAAGAAGAAACCTCAAAGATATATGTGCAATGCCTTTATCTTTTGAGGTCACTTATTCGAAGATTTGTCCTACCCTTTCGAACAATGGCGTACCAAAATGACAAACGATAAGGGGAACAATAGGTATATGGGTTAAATGCTGAAAGGAGTAAATATACCTATATTGTAGAATTTTGAGAAGAAAAGGATTAATTTGGATTAAGCATGCACTTCCAACACGAAAGATTATGATTCGGATGTTTTCTCCAACAGTGGTCATTTGAAGCCATGATTTTGAAGTGAACATTGAAGGTTTTAGTTAAAAACAATTTAACTAGCATTTCTTTTAGAATATGGCTCCTGACAAACAAAACAACACAGTACTGATTTCAAATGCAAAGTCATTTAGTTTGTGAAAAACATTGAAGTCCTGCTACAGCAAGGCTGTATGGTGCTGGTGAAAATGGAACGGGTGATAATTATTTATTTATGGATCAGAGTAACAGTGATGGTGAACATGAAACATAAATCAATGGATGTGCCTGAAGATATAACGGAAAACGAACTTTTGATGTAATTAAAAGTTTTTCAAGTTCAAATGGTATGTGTTCAAATGGTTTCAAGTTCAAATGGTACATGTACATATTGACAGTGAGAGGCAAGTCATCTTATTTACATTGCTGCATTTCCCTCCGAATCTCCTTATAAAACAGACAAAATTTAACACATCAAGTTATTTTCCATTGCAGAAATCACATAAGAAGTAATTTACAGTATAAAAAGCAAAAATCATATTGTTACATTCATATATATATTAAGAAAGCCTATACAAAAAAAGACTGGAATACTTATTTATGGTAGCACTGCTTAAAAGAAGAAATGCTTTCATGAAGGGCTTTTTGAAGGAATTTAGGCATCTATAGAAAAAATAGGTTTACTTAACTTAACTACAATATAAGGGTATTTACATATTAGCACCATAAAAGATGACACTAAATTTTCAGAAAGCTCTGAACTTTTGCAACCATGCCATAAATACTTCTGTTTCAGTGAAGGTGTCGCCATTCTCTATGCATTCTTTTTGTTGCATTCCAAATTCCAACAATTTTTACTATGAAATTGTGTTTTTTTTTCTTTTGTTGTTTTCAATTTTAAATTCAGCTTTAAATAACTTCATTTAACTTCTTAGCCTTCTTCTACTTAAATCTTCAGCTTAACTTCATTTACCTTCTTCGAAACATGTAAACTAATAATTGAACAAAGTTCGTTATATCAGTACTTTCAGCCAACTGCGATGCAAAATACTCACTGTGCTTTATTTTTTGAATACATGTCACTTATGAGATTTGCCATTTCATGAATTTGTCGACTTACTGTATCATTAGCTAACAGAATATCATTAAATTCATTAGTTGCTTTTTCATTGAATAATGTTAAAACAATATCTTCAGTTGCTGGTAATATTAGATTTTCTTCAATAGTATGAACCTGCCCAGTATTGGCAATTCTTAGACTTACTAGGTAACTAGCTTCCAAAGCTTTTTCACTTGATGTAATAAAAACTTTCATTACGTATTTACTACTTTTGAATTCAGATAATTTCCTCTTAAAATATTTTTCAGCTTTATCCTTTTAACCTCACATGCTTAAATTCAAGATGTCTTTTGAGAAACAATGGTTGCATACTTTAATTGGATAATAATTCACCGCAAACGACTCACTGCCATTGAGGGTCCATTTCATCTCCATTCCAAGTAAACTCAAATGATAAATAACTTTCATTATACTTTCTATACAATTTTTTCCCCCTTTTCAATATCCTTAGTGGTAGTAGATTGTCCTGGATCCATCACCAGGGAAAATCATCACTTCACTTAATCACTCCTAGCTATTTTTCAATTTTGAAAAATCTAGGTTTGCTTTATTAGTTTTTCGCAAATATTTAGATGCACAATACATTAAAAGTTCTTCCAAAACAAACGACGATTTTATCAGATCGTGTAGAGAAGTCAGGAATGCAAAGCAATAAGAAGGCAAAATACCTGTCATTAGAGATAGCAAATCAAAGTTAAAAAATTATTTTAATTGAAAAGAGCAATATGAGACCAGAAACGTAATGTGTAAACATGCTAATAAATCAATAAACTCTAAAAAAATTTATGAGATACTACTGCTTTTTTATAGGAACTTATTTTTATTTCCTATTAAATGCAACATCCATTTCTATTACTCGTTTTAAAAACATAACTTATGACAAATTTTATTATGTTTTAAAGAATATTTGTGAAAATAAAAACAGATTATTTTGCTGAAGTCTTTGAGTGGCTATTGACCTTGAACAAAGCTCAGATCAGGTATATTTATGCGTGCTGCAGAAAACACTTAATGATGATATTGGGTATTTCATTTTTTAATTCAATAGTTAAAAATTCTTTGTTTCTTTGCATAACACTAGTTGAGAATCACCATTTAGAAACTGTTTAGATGGTTTCCCTTATGAAGAGAAAATTTAAAGGTGTAATTGATCCCAAATCAGACAACTCAGTGATACATAGAAGGGAATAAATAAATAAATATATATATAATGCCATTTTTCCGCATTATAGCACACATACCTTTCTTCAAAAAAATTTTGAGAGATTTTTAAGTAATAATTTTAATTTATCTTGCCAAATTAAGTGTCTTTATAAAGTAATAGCCAAAATTAATTCTATTATATTTCGAAATTGTGTTATAAAATTCCTCTATATCTGTTATTTTAAGGATTTTTTTTTTAAATTTATCAAGACTCCATCTAATGTTTTAATGCATCTAAAATTTGTCATAGGTATCATGAACATATTTTATTAAATTTACAAATATTCATGGCTTCGTAAACAACGAAACATCATGCAAATGCTGCAGTAAACAAAAATGTTATTTTATGTCTTATTTCCTTGCAGTGTTTAATTTGTTTTACTATATATTTTACTGAAATTATCTAAATTCTTTAAAATTTTCGCTGGAAGGGATAGTTAAAAAAATATAAAAAATCATCGCTGCATAAATGATTAAAAACTTAATGCAAATGTTAAAATTTACATTGCAGAAAAGCAAAAATTGTAAGTCTAAAAAATATTAAAAATTTATGTGAAAATATAATGCTTAAAAGCGAAACCAGACAATTTAAAGTATGCAGTGTTTAGTTCAAATTTGACTTGTATACATTGTTCGTATATTTCTTATCTCAAATATTTTGTAGCAAAAAGCTTTCAAATCGGAAGGAGAAATTTGTGCGGTGTCAATGTTCTCGAATGAATGGAAAGAATTTACAAGATAATCTTCCTATTCTGAAGATGCAAAAACGAAAAGGGAACTTTAGGAAAAACCGGATCCTTAACACAAAGACCTTTGAAAGTGATAAGTAGTTAAGACTCCAGGGACATCAAACTTGACAGTTCACCCCACCTTTTCAGCTTGGAGAATGGGAAAAAAAGACATGATCACTAGAGAGAACATCCCCATCCTTTCAAACAAAGAATACCAAGGCCAACATAATGGCCATATAGCATCCCCAAAAAGTTAGTACACTGAAATTATGATTCTAAATGTTTCTGTCTGATGTTGCTAAAATTTGAAAATCCAATCCTTTTTACAGTGTCAAAGCCCTATGAAAAGCAATTAAAAATAATAACAAAAAAATTAACATACCTATAAGTTGCTTGTGTGCAAAAATGAGTATACCTTCAAATATAATTACATTAGCTCCATACATAGTTTTCTGTGGAACAAAGGAAAGCATTATTGTTAAATACTATAAAAATATTTAATTTCAAACTTCATGCATATTACAATAAAAGTGGGTTTTTTTATTATTATTTTCCTTTAAATATATCAATAACAGCCTACAAAAATAGACAATATTATCTTCCTGTACATATTTAAATAATAGTTTATACATTATTTTCATAACGAAATATCATTATCCTGTTATTTAAATATAAAAGTTTAATGATCTAGTTATCTTATTAGTTTGCCTGCACTTCTGCTTTCCTGAACTTTGACAAAATGCAAATTAATTAATGTAACATAAGAGCAGAGTTCTGGATTAATTAATGCAATATAAATGCAGAGACTGGATTCTCTATTTATTCCTTTCTGCTACCTGAACTGATTGACTGGCTTTAGTACTGGCAAGTCACATTTGCTTCACAATTATTTAGACCTCCCCGTCAAGATTTACTTATCACATGTTAATTTTATTGCATAGTTTACTTATTGTATTACATAGATTTTAATATTTATTCAGCATTTCCTGCAAACCAAGAGTTAATTTCTGTTATTTTATTAGTTTTTTATGTGCACAGCAATCAAGTTGACATGTTAATAAATAGGTATATTTTAAACCTTCAGTTGAATACATGTTCACGTTCATGTTAAAGTAGTGAAGGACCATACACATATACACATTTTTACATCTGCTTGCTTCATTTTTACTTGCAGATATGATAATATGGATATTGATATATAAAAAGTAGAAAGACCACAGAATTATAATTTTCTTGTAACTATACCTTATTTGCCAATCTAACATTTTTTTTTTTTTTTTTTTTTTTTTTTTTTTGTAAATTTGACAAAATCTGACAGAAAAAAATAATTAAAATTAAGATTGAGAAACTAAATATTTAATAATAAAAAAGGAGGGCAGAAAACTTAATAATATTCAAATGATAGTGAATTGCATTTAAAGAAGCCTTCCATATACTATAAAAATAAATTCTAAATAAGCAAGTGCTGATTTAAACATGGCAAAATATTTTTTCTTTAAAACTCTTACAAAAAACCTTTAGAACAGCAAAAGAAAATCATTTCACATAGACTCCAGAAAGGACATAACAGTTTATTTAATGATTATTTTATGTTCTTGGAAACTGATTCTTTGTCATTATTATTTTCAGTGAAAATATAAATAGAATTTTACACATTTTATTTTAAAATAAAACTAGTAATAATTCCTGTGAATAAGTTATTTCATATTTGATTTAACAAAAAGTAGTCCTTCCTGTGTCACATGCATAAGTTTGTTGCACATTGATATTTGAGCTGGATTGCACACTGATATTCGAGCCTGGCGAAGATAAACTATTTCTTGGGTGTTTTTGTGGTTTTGTATATATATAACATGAATACAAGCTAGTTTTGCATAGAAAGTCTTCCAGGAGGCATTTTTTCTTTTAGACAAACAGATGTTACAATACCTGTCATATTAGTCTAAATAATTTACAAAAAAAACATAATTTTATTTACGGTGTCCATGGTACCAACAATACCACCTAAACAAAAATTTTCACCACACCCAAATAAAGAGAAAATTTTCAAATGTAACTTGAAGTACTTTTTATTTGACATTAGATAATTTCAAATAGAAATAATAACTTAAATGTTTGACAAAACTGGGGGAAAGGTACATTAAATAAATTACATCCTTAAGTTTAAGAGCTTAAAAAATGTGGTGTTAGTAAAATATGGAAGTTTGGGAAAACATGTACTTTCATGGTATAAATCATCATTAATTTTGTGCAAACTGGAAAACAGCCTTTCTATTTCTTTTAATTTTCTGAGTTTACTTATTGAGTTTGTAAATAAGCATTTCTTTCAGATTTAATTACTTATTATGATTTAAAACAACATTAAAATTTGTTTAAATGTTATTAACCTTTATTTTGAAATTAATACATTTAATATATTACACTAGGGAAGTCATCTTTTAAATTTCATTCATAAAAGAAGTTGAACAAATGTTGTTATTATAAAACTAAATAGTACAACACAGTGTATGGATCCCAGATTGAATGTTACTATCATTCTTAAACTTACATAAAATTTGAATTTCTCTCTAAACATTTTTAATGCTTAACTAGTATGAAACACATATAACCTCTGAAAAATCTGAATAAAAAGCTTTTAATTTTTATGGAAATATGTTTAAAAAATACCTTTTTTATAGATTATAATTAAAAATTAAGATTAATTAAAATAAATCACATAAACTACTTGAATCTGGTTGGTTAAAACAAAATTATGCATTCTGCAAACACAAAGAAAATTTAATTACAAAAGTAACATCAGACATAAATTTAGTTAACATAGTACAGCTAAAATTTTGAATTTTGAGCGCTACATTTTGAAAAAAGTATTCATATGAGTTTTACTACACTGGGTATTTTAGGAGTAGAACCAAAACAAGAAACCAACCAGTATGTTATTTTTGAAAAAAAGAACTCGAAAAAGGATTTAAAGACTTTGTACTGTATATAAAAATATCTAACTTTCTAACAACAAATTAACAATAGCCTTTTAACTCCCCTCTTCATTCTGAAAATAACAAAGCAATAACTTTTCTAACATAATCTTTAATTCCTTGCAATTCTAAAAAAGATCCGTCATCTAATCTCCATTGTGCACTTATTGATGGAATCTTAACCCAGCAAATAGCTACTAATCTGCTACATGATCAGGAATGTAATCTAGTATAAAAGATCTTTGCTGCACAATCTCTCTCTCTTTGGTTTCCACTCTTCTTCCTGGTTTGCTGTTCTCTCTGCTTTGTCTTGCTGCTAACTATGTGGCTCTTTAAAATGTGATATGCTATATAAAATTCTGGGGTGTGTCTTGTTCCCATGATGCATGAAGAAGAATAAGTTTTGATAATTAGTTCGTTGTCCAGTAATAAATATTATGTTCAATTTGGCCACATTTGTGTACAAGTTTCTCCTTCATTATGCATCATTCAAACTACACATGCCCCAAATCCATTACAGCTATCACCCAGTCAACAAGATAATTACAGTTATTATTATTACATATATATTTTTTTACAATTTTCACCATTTTCACATTTCTTTGTGTATATACATAATAAAATCGTAATATATACAATAAACTTATACACATAATAAAATCTAGGAAAACTGGAGACAGTAAAATAAGCACACATAAAAAATTGAAATTCTAAAATTCATTTTACCATTCTCTTTTCCCTGGAATGTGAAACAAAATTATAAATTGGTACATCAACACTTTTTCCTTCTTTCAGTTTTCTTAGAGTTTCAATTAAAAGGTCAAAGTCAAAGGCATCAGGGTGATCAAAATTATAATCATTTTGCTTTGCTAACTTGTGATCATTTTCATCAAGAACCTAAAAAAAAAAAAATTATTAGATAACTACATAGTTATAAACATGAAAAATACTTTTACAATTGAGATGCATAAATTATAGCAAACTTGGTTGCTAGGTGGTACAGAAAAAATTCTGTAAGCCAAGCACGTAGAGCACAGAAAATTTTCACATTAATTACATAAACTGTACACATTTTTACAAAAATTAGGAATTAGATATGCTACAAATTATGTAACTACAAATTATGTACAAATTATGTTAATTTATTAATACATATCAAAAACCTAGCAAAAAATAAATAACTAAGGGTGGGCATATACTATTTTTTAAAATCTGTTTCTTTGCTATGCAATATATTTTTTAATTGAAAAGATATAACAACAGACCTTTTGCTAAAAAGGTAAAACAATAATTTTATAAATTACAATTGGGAAATCTGGGTAAATGATTAAAATACCATAATACAAAAAAAGGAAAAACTAAATACAGTAGAAAACCCAAAACACGCATAGCCTTCCCGATATATCAACATTGAAATTTGCCATTAATAAGCCTTCAAAAGTACACAAGTTTCCAATAAAAACCAAAAACACACAACAACCATATCTATTATTATTTAAACTTGGGAAAAATTTGGCAAATTTCATTCTTAAATGAAACATAATTAAAGTGTAGTCATGTAAATCTATGTCACATAACTATGTGAATAGGATGGGGAAAAATATATGATTTTCATTTTACATAATTTCAAGTTTTAAAATATGCTAAATAGTAAGGTCGCCAATCTTCCTCCTTACAGTCCTCCTTTGGACCTGTCCTTCCTCAAGAAGTGTCATCCTTTTTTAATATTTTACAACTAATCTGTTTATCTCTGTATTATTTAAAGATGTGGTGTCAAAATGTTATGCATTACTCGTCATGGTGCAGTTTGAAAAAACATGATTATAAAATATATACACAGCCCATTCTGGGCATATCTAAACTTCATGCAGTTACACTTGTCTCACACCCTCACACTTTTGCGCACTTTACTTTGTTTATTTCAATGTGTCTATAATATTATAGTTTGTGTTTACATCTGACGCAAATACGAATTTCTTCCTTTCACTGTATAATTATTATACTCAGATAAGTGCCTTGCTAAGTAGAATTCACATTTTATTTGTTCATTAATATAATTTTATTATACAACTTTGTTTTCAACACAAGTATAAAATAATTTAAAATTTAAAACATAGATTTAGTAAATTTTTATAGTTTTTGTTATTAAAGATTTAGTTTTATTTATTTATAATGTGCTTACATTGTTCATGTAGCTCCATATTTTATTTTTTATTCTATTTAAAGGATGGAAAAATCAAAGAAGAGGAAGTGCCATTTCAACGATCAGTTGAAGGAGGAATTTCCATTTCTCGTGCCAAAGAAAGACAATATTGTTTTCTGCAATATTTGCAGAGGAAAATTTCATATTGCAGCTAAAGGCAAAGCAGCCATAACTAAGCATTTAAACACCAACAAACATAAGCAATCATTAGATGCATCAGCTTCCAGTAGTAAAGTAACAATTTTTTTTTAAACTGCTAATTACTCCAAAGAGGAAAAACAGCTATAATGGAGGGAACATTTTCATTTCATACAATAATTCATAATCGAACTTTTCGTAGTATGGATTGTACAACGACATCATTGAAAAACTGTCACAATCCTAAATTTTCATATGCCAGAACAAAATGTGAGGCTATTATTAAATCAATTTTCAAAAATTACTGTGATAATATACTTGCAGAAGACTTGAAATATGCAGCATTTGTAGCAGTTTTATCTGATGCATCAAATCATAATGAAACAAAATTGTATCCAATATTAGCAAGATATTATAATGTTAACAAGGGCATTCACATAAAAATTTTTAATTTAGAGTCCATTGACGGCAAAACTGCTGGTGAAATTTTGGCGAACCACCTATACAGAGTAATAAATGATAATAATTTGAAAATTGTTGCACTAACAGCGGATAATACAAACACAAATTTTGTTGAATGAAGACACAAAGGAGTAAATAATGTCTATGTAAAATTACAAGATTTACTCCAAAAGAAAATAATAGGCATAGGTTGTAATGCAAATTCAATAGTTAATTCAATAAATGTCAAATGCAATAAACACAGCATCATCTGCCATGCCAATTGATGTAGAAGTGATAATAACGACAATTTATTTGTATTTTGGTTGTTTTATAGCTCATGTGACTGCTTTAAAAAATTTTTTGAAGACACAAATGTTGAATATAAGAAACTTTCAGGATATTCAAAAGTTAGATGGCTTGCTTTAACACCTGCTATAGAGCATGATTTACAATTATTTGAACCCCTCCATTCATATTTTTTACGTTTAGACAAATGTCCAAAAATTCTAGAATCTTTTTTTCAATAATGAATTATCGGAGGTATTGATGTATTTTGTCCACAATCAGGCATGTGTTTTTCACAAAACGATTCAAAATATTGAATGTGAACATATTTCAGCTACAGAAATTTGCCTTATTTTGAACGATTTTGTCCTTCAATATAAATCACAATTTGAAGATAAATTTATTTCTTTAAACAACAAAAAAGGAAATTGTCAATCTTAGAGGGATCAAATCCAGGCATAACGAGAAAAGTTTACCAAAGAAGCATAAAATTTTTATGAAATATGTTTCCAATATGTCAAAGAATGGTTGGAAACAAATATCACAATAAATAACAGTTTTAAATGATGTTTTTTGACAAGTAAAGTGGGCAGATATTTGAAAACCGTCCTGAGTTTTTATTGAAAGTAACGCCTGATATTAAAATTGATGACAATCATCTGTTTGAAGAAATTAGAAGATTGAACTTGTATTTAAACACTGATAAATTACAACAATGGAAAAATCAACATATTGAAATTGATAAAAGATGGGTGGAAATTTTAACCATTTTAAAAATGAACACATTCCATATGAAAATTTAGTTATTCTTGTTGAATTTACGTTGCGTTGCCCTGGAACTAATGCAGCAGTTGAAAGAGTTTTTTTCAATTGGTAATGATTTTTGGACAAGTGAGAAATCAAGATTGAATGTTGATACTTTAGCTGCAGCATTTACCATAAAATTTAATATGAAGAATATTTCTTGCTCCTATATTTCTAGTATTTTGTTAGAAAATGATGCATTGACAAAAAATATTCATTCAATGACAAAATATCCCTTTAATTAAATAATTAAAAGAGATGTAAAGATAATTATTGTATTTTTGTTTTAATTAATAAAATGTTTCATTTATTTGGGATTTAAAAACTTTTTGTCCTTTTCATTGTAAAAAAATTGGTCACCTTATAAATAGCATAAAAAGTTTATCGATCAATTTCCAGTTTTCATCTTAAAAATGCCTGTCAATGCATTTTTTTAAGTAAAAATTTCAGTTTTGCAATTATGCAATATATGAATTTTAGAAGCCATTACAATTAATTTCATAAAACTTTGATATTTAAATAAAAACAAAATAAACTGAACTTTCACATTTTTAGCTCCAAGAACTGCACTAAAATCGAAAGTAACCAAAAAAGTGTTATATTTAAATAGATAATGAATTATTCCATAACATTTATTAAGAGAAAAATTACATGAATAATATTTCCTTTTATATCTTTCTCAGAGAAGACGGCAAACATCCAAGTGAATATTTGAGCATTATCAGTGTAGAAGACAAACAGATGCACATGAAAAAAAAAAAAAAAAATTAAAGGAAATTTTTGTCTGCAATGCGATTAAAGAAACTCACTTTATAAAATGAATCCATGCTCAGTAGAGTTACCCAAGGGACATCTAAGGCTTCAATTACTTTCCTGGCAACAGTAGTTTTCCCCGATGCACTACCTCCACAAATGCCTTTAAATGTAAAATTCATATTTTTTTTAATAGCTCAGGTTATCAAAAATACAAACTATTTATTTAAATATACAAGAATGTTATAATGATAATAAGATAATATGAATTTGAACAACTGCAAATAACAAAGTTTTCAGTCAAAAAAGTAATAATTAAAACAATGTGCATGCAAAATTAAAATAACATTTCTTCGTTGACACAGTCAGTGAATTTTTCACAAAAAAGTTATTTGCCTTTATTCTAAACAATAATACCAAATTTTCTCACATCTTCTATTATGCATCACGAGATCAATAATTACATTCCACTGAAACTTGCTTTCAAATTTTACACAAAGAATATAGTTAAAAATGTTATACACACAAATATGTCTCCACTAAGAATTTTAACTTCTTTTTGAACATTAGAGATCACCAAATAAAAATGCCAAAATGAAGTGTAACAATCATATTAGAATAAATTTTTTTAAGAAAATGCAAAAAGCTATTTTTTTGCCATACAACTTTGGAATTAAGGAGATTTTTTCCACCTACTGAATTTTTTTTTATTACAGAAAGAATCTATTTTTTCTTTTTTTTTTTTTTTTTTTTTACAGTTACAATATGAATTGATAGTTAACAAAAAGAATCCCATATTATACTGATTACCATGCTCTATAATCTATATATATAATTCACTTGTGGGTGATATTCAACAACTTATGTTTGTGCAATGCACAATTAAGTGAAAATTTAATCATAAGAATTCCACTTTAGATGGCTTCACTATAATGCCTTGGTAACAGAAAATTATGCTACAGCATAAGAAAAAATTAAAGTAATTAGTAATAAAGCATACATTTTCGCTGCAATTTTTTTACGGCCCTCGAAACCGAATAGTACCGAAAAAATTAAAGTAATTAGTAATAAATTATTTAAAACAAATACAATAAATTTTTTAAAGAAACATATAACAACTTCTTACCAATTACAAAAGGTTCTACTAGCTGACCCTGAGTATCATACCAAGGTGGTCTTCCAGCAGTGTATATGGTTCGCTGTCTTGTCCTAAGAACAGGCTCGTGACAACCAACTGATTTGGATGATGACCATGTTCTTTCCCTTTTCTTTCGGTGGGGAGAGCAGAGAGAAGCATGGGGAGAAAAGCCAGGTGATTTTGGAGAAGATACTGTCACATCATCATCAGCAGGTAAATCTTCTAAATTCAACTCCTCATTGCCACTAATAAGGAAAAAAAGTCACAGAAACACATATATACATTACAATATGAATAGTAACTAAAAATTCTTATAATGGACAACCTGAAGGGCAATTCCATATGGTACTAACCAAAAAATTAAGACTGCCAAATAATACAAAGAAAACTGAATGGAATAGACAGGTTTATTTCTGCAATAATCTTACATAAGCTGATATTTTTCTGGCTATAAATAATAGAATTTTAATTTTACACATACAGACACAGATTTTATTGCCAAATGCTTTCTGCATTAGTCAATTGAAAATAGATAATTTTCAGATATTCAATTTCTCAATTTTACCAGAATTTTTTTTATAACACAGAAACAAAATTTACTAAATTTAAAATTTCTATGTGGTCCACTTTTCATAATCTAAAATTTTAGTAAAAATGCATTATACTGTATAGTTATTATTATGATTTTAAAGAACAGTGATACAAATTAAAAATTTTCTTATATTTTGATTTATTGCTTGTAAAAAATATCACCAATAGACTGCAAACAAACAAAAAAAAGCTGTGCATAAGCACATACGTTCATTTTCTAACGAAACCATCATAATTAGTAGAATAATATATAGCACGTTTATGTTTATATATCGGAGCAAAAGAAAATATTAAGTACAGAAGCCTGAACAAATCCTACAAACCACGTGTATAACACATTCGTACCGAAAAACGAAATTGCGATTCTTCGAATAGATTGAATTCTCAAAATATTTTAAGTAAATTTGAAAAATTAACCATTTCACTGAAGTACAAAGAGGGGCACATAAAAATAGCAGAATAAAATAATATTATAGAGTTTGAAACAAAGGTCTTTGTTTACAAATATTCATAAACACAGACTATGAATGCCGAAATTTTGGTTTACTCCAATATAATTTTATAAAAGCATAGAGATCATTTGATCGAACACCATGCATTGTCCAGAATTTAAAAAACCATGAGCTTACGTACATAACTTTCATTTTCGTACACACTACAGAGTTCAACAAAACGTGTGCTATTGCACTCCTTGAAATCTAGCCAATCATGTTGCAGGGATCTCGGAAACCAACCGTGTTATGAGTGAAGGGTGAGTAATAGGTCACTTCGGAACAATCAACACGAAATAGTAGGTACTGAACAGGATGGACGCTACGCTTTCATATGTTTGGTTTTATCGTTTACTTCCTAAGCGATTGGAAGATCATACCTGTCTGAACTGGCAGAACTAGGTGGATCGCAGAAGTATACGTTCGCCATTAGAAATGCAAAAAGCGCTACCTATATTTCGTGAGAAATGAGATACAATTGAAATATGGCAAGGTCAAAGAGAGATTACTTTCGCAACAGCATTTATCTAAGAACGTTTTCTTGACGAATTTCGCAGTATCATTAAATGATAGAAATTTTCAGTAACTTTTAGTAAGAAACATTCAGACTGGAACTTCATTATCATTGTATTATAAAAATGTTTGTAAATTTAGAAAACGGAATATATAATATAAACCAGTTTGAATTTAATGACATAAGTTTAGGTTTAAATTATTGCCTAAATAATGTTACATTAAATACATTCTGCATGTTATTCTAGACGATTCGTTTTCTTTTATGTGGGTTATAAATGTACTTAATGTTTGAAATAGTTTTCATATTCTTTCAGTAAACGTTTGTCACACCTTAGCTTATTTTTCGTAGTTTCATTTGTCTTCCAGAGTTTTCTAGTTGTTTAACCGGAATGTGCAAACATAGTACACCTCGAAGCTGTGTGACTTATTCTTTATGACTGCATTTACCAGTATGAAAGCGCTGACTTTTGACATTTCCATTATCATATGTTAGCTGCCACACTGCGATATTTGGATCTTTGGCAAGGCTTGTAAAAATGATGCAATTTCAGCGGTACGTCGAAATTAGTTTTAAAAAATTGCTTGGGTCGTTTTGAAGAGAAAAATGGTCTTTCATCCATAGTAGCAAAAATTTTTCTTTTTCTCTGCAAAAGGTATATAGCCTTTTCTGCACTGAAATCAGCATCAATATAAATATTGAAAATTATCATTAACTATCATGCCTTAGCTGTATTTAAGGTTTGTAGTAACCAGAGCTACCCAGTATTACTTCCAGGGCTTAATTTCTAAAATTAGAAGTGCCGGAGCCCTATGGAAGCTCGCCAGCAAAGAGGAACAATAATAAATAAATAAATAAAATTACTATTAAACTCATTAATAATTTTAAAATTAAATAGTTAATTATTATCAAATTAATTAATTATAATTTAATTGATAATTATTAGATAATTAATTACTATTTATTGAGGTATTTCAATAATTAAAGATTAAAGTAATTAATTAAAATTAAATGTAAAGAGATAAATTACATTTAATAAGCGTTTTTAATGTAATTTTAATGCTAAAAATAAAATTTTCGAGGTAAAATTTCTACTGAAATCGTTATTCAGTTACATAAAGAAGTGCATTTAAGCATTTAGGAAGTGCTTCTTATTTAGGGCTTCGGCTAGAATTATTTCAAAAACTAAGAAGCACCGGAGCCGGTCCAATTTTAGCTCTGATCGTAGAGGGAAGTTCTTTTATATCACAAAAATTAAATATAGTACAGCTGATGTAAATTAAGATAATGCTAAACACAGAGCGAAACAAAGTGAGGGTATGAGTGTGTGCAAACATAAAATGAGGGAATCTTGGTGAGAGAGAACGTTCTGTTTGACCACTGGGCTCTGGATCAAAGTTAGATAAATATATTGTTGGAAAGTTGTAATGTATTGTTGTATTGCGCAATATACTGTTATAATGTGAAAGATAACTTTCAAAAATCTTCTGCTACGTGGAATTATAACAATAGTGGAATTAGCAGTTGTCAACACCACTGATAGTTTCGATTTGCGGAGGCGCATAATTGGCCATTTGCCAAACCGCATTCCTAGGAATGAATGAAGTGATAACTTAGCGTAATGTAACTTTCAAATCGTGAAAAATGAAAATTTGACTGTTAACTCTTCTAGCAATTAAAAAAACAAAAGACGGCACTGTTTCGGTTAATTTCTACAAGTAGTATTTTAAACAGAAGTTTCATCAAATCTCTTTAATGAAAATAGAGTCAATTATCATTAGCGAAGAACTAAGATGAAAGCGCACTGCCATCGTCAATGAGGGAATAAAATTCTTAGGCAGTAATTTGGCTAGGAGCGTAGCTTAATAAACATTTTTGGCAAAATAACACATGTGTTTAAATTAAATAAAATTCTTTCTGGAATTCCCATTGACAGGAATCCAGATGAATTATTTATGTAAGATTTTACTAAATGTAAATTTAAAAAAAAAAAGGTAAATGTAAGGTTGCTCAAACCTAAAATTAATTATTTTAGTTATCTTGTTCTTCAAACAGAATCATATTCTTTAAATTTCTGTTAGCTTTTGTCACATTTCTGTACAATCTTATCTCATAGTCATTACTCAATCGAAATTCTTCCTCTAGACTCTGTTATAAATATACGAGCTCAGCGTTAAGTCGCTACTTAGTTCACTAGGTTCATTTACAGAAATATCAATAATAAAACAATAATCAATATTATTTATAGTAGAATGCAATGCATCTAACTGATAGTTTTCTAAAATTTTACACCATAACAATAAATAAGAAAAGAATTTCGTAATGTCATGTACTATTATTTCTTAACGAATGACATTCGTTTGCTAACAGTATAAACAATTTTAACTATACAAGGAAAATGGCGTCTGTAAAATCTGCCATGGAAGGTAATTCGACTGTCTTGAAAATAGGTAATACTGCCAATCGACACGACAAAAGAATATAATGTTTAGATGAAGTATATCTTGTTCAGCTTATTTAAACCTCTAATCTGCAAATCGTTGTTTTTAGAACTTAGTATTAGATATTTACAAGTTTGAAAATAAAAATGAATTGTTTTTAACTCTTATATAATAATATCTTTCTTATGCATCTTAAGAAATGGGTATCTCTGTTTTTTAGCATGATGACACACATAGTAAACATAGTAAAAAAATATGTTTCACACTTGGCAGCCAGGCATGCACTATTTTTTAAAAACCTTTCACATCAACGAAGCGCAACAAATTTCAACTTTTAACATAAGGCCAGGTCGTGAGAGAAATTGCGCAGGAAGGATCTGATGGATATGCTACCGGCGAAGTTTGAAATTCGGCATTCTACAGAATACCTAAGTATTGTATATAATGCCTAAAGCTAGCCGGAAATGCACGAAACGATTAATATTTCAGCCATTTCCTAGGCATTCTATAGAATGACAAACCAGCAAAGTATGAAATATATTTCCGATTCGTTTCGAACAACCAAACTTCTTACCAGAAGTTAATAAATGATGTAAAAAGCCAAAATGAGTACTAAGTAGGAACCACGGGTCTACTGGCTGCTGAATCGTTACGATGTGATGTTTGTGGAAAACAAAATTACATCTATTTATCCTGTTAAAGATAGCATCAGTACTATACATTATTACGTCACGGACGCTGAGTTATTTCCCGTAGTTCATGAAAACTCATTTGAGTGCTGGACACGGACGACTTGACAGAATCTTAAAAGAACTTTCAACCAAATACAAAAACGTTACACATAAGTATGTAATTAATAACGTTACACATATGTTAATAATGCTCATATTTCATACTTTGCTTAAAATTGTCCCGCATTACATACAATGCCTAGGCATTCTATAGAATGCCGACGTTTCATAATTTGCCGGTAACAACTGAAAACAAAGAAACAAATGATGATAAGATAATACAGCAAGCGCTACTTAATGTGATCACCGTGAAAGTTACCATTCGGATACTGTTATCGAACTGTAGAATTCCGTCCCCTGTATTAATGAAAATGCAATATGATCAATAATTCGGTTAATATAATCAAAGCATTAGAGATTTAATTTTTTAAAACTGAAGTAAAATCTCCAAACAAAAGATAAGTAAAACAAAAAGAGCCAAATAAGGTCATCCAACTAGAATTTAAAGTTGCCAAAAGTTATGCTCATTTTAAAACTATTTTGCGATACTGCTGTTGAACTGAATTTTATGGTTTAAGCGCGAAGAACGTGATATTTAATAAATAAATGTAACACACAAAATGTTAAAAAAAAGCCCCTTTGGACGTAATTTAAAATCTGAAACCTTTCAGATTTTGGGGGGGGGGCGGACAGGGAAAATCACCCTCTAGAATTTTTTTCCTGGAGAAAAATTACCAAAGTTGATTTTTTTGTTAATTATAAATCCTACATAGGCATATTTTCTTCCATTTTTGATAAAGCCGACCATGAACAAAAGAACCCGTTTTCCGAATTCTACGACGACCAGCTGGACTAATCAGTTTAATGAAGCTGGAATTTGTTAGTCATTTTCTGAAACAAATCCAAGTACATCATGTTTCAAATTTTCTGAACATGATTTTCATGAAATCGGTGAATTTCCTACAAATGTTGGGATGAGGGCTTCCCTTCTTTTATTAAGATTCAGGTGTACAGAATTTGTCAAATTATTTCCAGAAGCATTATGAACAGCTTTCTTCCTAATTAAAATATTGTGAAAGTATATATTTATATGTTCCTAGCAATATTGTTACGGATTTTGTATTTATTTAGCTATTTTTAGTAGAATTTGTAACTAAAATTGTTTTATATCCCCGTGCAATGCAGCACGAGACTTATTTGAAGAGAAAGCTACGCCGAAAAAATTAAAATACAGGAGCACGCAAATTTAGCATTTTAATAAACAGATATCTCGTAATTGTACTCTTTTGCTATCCAGAATAATCGAGAAAATACCAGAATATTCTCATGAAGGATTAAAAAGCTTATAAAAGCCGAAAAAAAAAATCTCAGTTCAGTTATTTAGTAGTTGTTTACTTTGTTATTATTGATTGTAGCGAATTCGCGGTGAGATCGGATTAGCTTTCTTTGTGCTCTGTATAACGTTTAAGTAGTTCAAAATATTGCGATATTGTACGAATATCTCTGAGGAAGTTTCGGCAATTTGTTTTATCTCTTGGAATAATAATAACATTTATTAACTTTTTATCGACTTGTGCATCCAGTCTATTACGAACCCGTACGCACGCAACAATATTTTAAACACATTAGTTGCATTCAATTTCTAGTTTGAAGGATGACTTTTCTCATCATATAATATAATCATTCGG